TGAAATATATCTTTATATATCTAACAGCTACAATCTTAGCAAGTTTTACTAAAAATAATTTAAGCTTGACTAGCGTGCTCAATGATATGACAGTTGAGCGAGCTCTATGTATCACAAGCTAAATCATAAATGTGAAATATCATATACATTACTATAGGTATCGACAATCTAGAAAAATAAGGCGTCACTAATTACTAGTATAAGATAATACTGTTAACGATTTAAAATGCGTAATATTTTTGCAGTATTAATCAACGTCGTTCATGACCACGAACGAAAAAAAGCATCCAAAATGTCGGGGCGTCAAAAATCAATGTAACTCATGTAATTCCATTTATAACCCGTTAAAAGCGTTTTATTTAAAGTAAAATGCAGTACACTATAATCCGATAGTAAATAATTCCTTGTTCAGTCCTTGTAACAGTGGCTGCAATCTGACGCCATCTCCGTACAGCGATACCGATGGTATCAATCACATTAAACTGCGGTCACAATGACCGGCCCGTTAGATAAATGCTTGTTTATTGTGAAATCCACCATGACAACGGCCTAAGAACACGGATATTATTACATGTAATAGCTTGAATAACAAAATAACTTCTAGTTATTCTGACTTGTATCTCGTAAACGTACTTGGTTAGATTCTAAGGGGCGTTAGTACTGATATTGGCATATTAATAATAATTAGTAGTAGTTTAAAACTATCTTTACTTGATTGAAGCTCTGTACGAAGATTTTGATTTGGTTCGAAGTTGTTATCGTCTCATTAAAATCGCGTTAATTTTTAAATAACTATATTATATATTGCGCGTTTTAAATCATTACACGTTATTTACATAAGTATATGATATAGAAATGTAGTGATGACATTTTTTTCCCGAGATTGTCTAGTCTGTGTCAATGTTGTTACTAGGCAGCCAACAATATAATAAACATGAAATCAATATAATAAGAATTATAACATAGGTTATGCATTGCAATTTAAAAAATCCTCTTTAATCGATTTTCCTATACCGAGTAAGTTCGTCGTTATTAAGTTAGATTTTTAATTCATTGCAGGTTTATTTTTAATCTGTGAAAACGTTTGACGTTTGTGCATCTATGCTAAAGTTCTCAAAGATTTATTCGTTAGAATATCTAATCAGAACAGCACCTTATATCAGAGATAATGTACACAATAAAACGATCTAATGTAGGTCCATTTGGTAATATCGATCGGTGTAAAGTAATAATTTTATTTCCAAAAAGCTCCATATCAATTGATGTTTGAGCATAAATGTTACCTAATCTTTTATTGTAAGCTATAAAAATGATTTTACTGCCGTCGGTAAAGACTGCACATTTTGTTTACTGGTATCTACGATACAAGATATCTATAAGTAATTGATATAAAGGCATATACAATAAACATATGGTGGTAGTATTCCGATAATATTAAAATATATAAAGGTTAAAATCACTATTTACAAAACATACTGTTTACACTGAAAAATCGGCAATAATAATCTTAACTAACAACTAACAGTACAACGCAAAATAAATAAATTAGCTAACTTATTTTTAGGTTAAAAAAAATTAAGATAAAAAAGATTAACAGTTCAAATTGCGAAATATACTAGTTAATTTTAAGTATGGCGGACGTTTTGGATGCTTTGTAGCCATCGTGGTCAAGGAGGAACTGAAGATGGAAAGTGCCCATAATATCAAAGTCAACTCTGTTACGCGAGCGCGATCTCTTTCGTCGCAGTTTGTATTTGGAATTTAAAACCGTCAAGAGTGTTTTATTATTTTTTACTACTTTTTTTCAAACGTTTTAATTTAAAGGTTAAATTTGGATCAACGTTTGTGTGCCCGGCCGATATGTAATTCCCTTAGATTCGAATACAGCACTGCTGGCACAGCGACAAAAGCTACACAAAGGGATTTGTCCCATAATCGTCAATAAATTAATTGTGCATAGTCAATAAATTCGTATACCTGAGAACTAAATAATTGATTTTGTCGTGTTGCACTCTGAATGAGATTTGAGCAAAGCGAGAAACAGAACTACAAACAAACATTCAATTTTCATTGGACTGCGATTCAATTTTGTCAGTGCAATACTGAAATTAGTTTCATAATCGTCAAGTAACGATATCGTAAAATACTAATGCACCCAAAAGTAACGAATATCGATATGAGCCTTAACGTTATTATTATATTTACAGCTATGGATTTACCATATTTTTCGTGATAATTACTTACTTAAACAAATCTGAATTATTATGTATTAGAGTATGAAGAATCGATATATCGAATTAATCTACTGAATTTCTACACCAAATTTCATGGCATCATTATCGTTTTGATAAATATACTATACGGACCATAGCATATATAATTACCTAGTAGATATAGTTGCCTCTGAAAAGGAGGCGCTCAACTGCGTTGGGACTAATGTCCCAACACTGATATTTTGTGGCCGAGCGAGATCGTTGTGTAACGGACCTAACGTATACATTAAAATTGTATTAAATTCTTATAAATTATATAATTTAACAAATAATACTATTAAGTTATTTCTGTTATTCCATATTCTCAATTCAGATTGATGAAATCTAAATAAGATCGTGGTATTTACTCATGGCACCTACTCGAATATAATCCGTGACTGCCAACGATTGGGTAATGCATTGAGTTATAATATTGGTAGGATTAATTTTATTGTCAGTTGTTGATTTATAACGTACAAGAGTTAACGAGACACGCGCTGAGTTGTTACGTAACGTTAAAGACGGATGATGCAAAACGCATTCCCCATCGTTTACGCTGGAATATTTTAAAGAATTCAACTCGTTGGAGATCGTAAGTAATGGCTTATCGATATTTCATTATGTTTGTTATGATACATCGTAGCGTTCAAGCAAGTGCGTTCCACGATAAGATGTCTAAAATTACGCACCAGTACTCGGCCGGACAGAATCGATGGGAATAAAGTACGATTAATTGCATGCTTTAGTTTAATTTGTTATAGAAACGTGATATATATATAAATAAGGGAATCGATCCCGCGACTGTCGGCAATAGTAAAAAAATAAAATTTACAATTTAACAAAGGTGGCGCTGTAATTAACAGCTGGTATTTTTTTCTTAGAACCGAGTTCTCCTAATCTTAAATTCTTCTTTCCATTATATGTTTTTATATAAACATACACATATGTCTACACTTACTAGGACTACCCGCATTGTAGTAGATGTGTGAGCTACTAAAGAATTAGCCTCGTTTTCAATTAATTTCAGAAATAAATCGTTTAACTCATAAACAAATTAAACAGCGGCTGTGCGGCGTTATGTCGTAGGAAAGCCAGGTACCTCCTGGTTTTAGCCCCTCGTCCTAGGATACCAGTCTTAGGATAAACAGTAATATAAATATTTCTATTATGAGGTCAACAAAATATTTCCACAACTAAGCAAATTAAATCGCAAACAGTAAAAACGTGGTAAACATACATGGGAAATCAATTTTAATTCCCTCCGCGCAACTTAATTAATATTACAATTAATTCAAATTAGTAGCAAGAATCTCTTGTTACTGGTTATTTGGCATGGGCAGCGTGTAACCAAGGACCGTGATGAGGTCGTGTAGAGGTATAACAAATGCGTTCTTAGGAATAAGTATGTGCATCGTTGTTTACTGTTTACTTCTATTTGAAATTCTCAATGACAAGACAAAAGATGCAACTTGAAAAAAATACAGATTAGAACATTAATTAGCTTCAACTCAGCACTTTAATTAGCGCAATAGTACAGTTAGCTTAGGTCGTAGGTTCCGAATCTCGCCCATTTAATTTTTTCAATGTAAAATACATTTGATAAACAACTGACAATTAATCTGCGCTGATCTCTCTAACTAACAAACTCTTTAATACTGTCTATAGTTTACGCGAGTAGTACACACTTAAATAAAACACTTTAACGGTTTAAAACGCGATATATTAGGCAAGGACCCGGCCAGTTTCGCCAAATACCAACTTCGACGGAACAGATGGCGCTAGCGTAGCAATTTTTTACTTTGACGTCCTCCATCTTTAGTCTCCCCGTGACCACGACTGCTGCAAAGCATCTGAAACGTCGGGCCGAAGGTTAAAATCATTTCCAAATAAGTTAAACTAATATATCGCGTTTTAAACCGTTAAAGTGTTTTATTTAAATAACAAACTCTTACTTAACTGAGAGGTAGAAACTTTATCTTTTCGACATGTATATCATACAATTAGTGAAACTTAGAACTCTGTTGTCAGCAATATTAAGAAAAGAACCTGAGGAGTAGGGTTTTCAAAAAACCAAAATCTTTAATTATTCAGAAATATAGATACCCATTGCTGTAACACAAAACATTGTTCCAGGGTTTCAGTAAACGAACAATTAGAATGTAAATTGAAACACCGAAATAAGCTTCGTAATAAAGAATTCAATCAGAGGAGAATGAGAGTGGATGTAATCCAGCCAGATGCATTTTACATACAATATGATTCAACTCTTTAATTTCTCGAGAACATGAAACGTATACTGGTTTCACTAATACACTTCCTGAAGGCAATTGATACAAAGCTACTTTGTTCTTTAGAACTTAACCGCGTCTTATTCGATCGGTAGGAAATAATTTTGCCCATCTGCCTAAGGTTATAAACTGTTATATTATGGCTTTTAAAATTATACTTTACAAAATAAAAGTAATGATTTATCGTATATTATTGTAAAAAAGCTTTCGTCAAAAAAGCATCTAGAGGGCGTGTGATAGACATTATGACCATCACTTTTAATTCAATAGTCTTAAATGACTAACTTGTGTCTAAAAGTTTAAAAGCCAAGTCAAAAAGATTTACATAACACTTACAAGGGTTTAAGACGTCATATATATTTGGGAACCTATGCTTAACTACGGCCCGACAGATCGAATTATTTGGCTGTGTTTTATATAAACGTGTGTGTACGGTAGTTAATATGCACTTTTTTTTCAGAACCTACGAAGATCAGAGAAGTTGGCAAGGGTAGCGAGGGAAGAAGCGCGTCCGATCCTGCAAAACTCAACTAGTATGATATTTTAATATTATTATATTGTAAGAACTAATCTCGAATTATATAAAAGACATCATAGTGTGTTAACTGCGTAAATAACATGTCTTATATGCCCGAGATAGAACCCTCATTTAATGTGTTATCAGCTAATGTTACTTGATAGAAATACATAAAAACATTCAAATTCTAACTTGAGTCGCTGTAATTGCTTCTGTGTAGTTTACACAAGTTGTAAGAATATAATATGTTTATTAACAAATATCAACTTAAAAAAACTTTTAAGTTAAACAGTTTTATTTTATGTGCACTGAAAACTACAAAAAAAGGGTTAACGAAAAATATGTAATCCGCCATTTGTATCGGCGGCCATCTTGGATGTATAATGTTTTTTATTATTTCATTATATTGTATCTAAATTAAATGTGTGTATCTAATTTACATAATTAATAATATTGCGTCTAAGCCAAGAAACTTCGATAGGCTTTAAGTTTTTCTATATACGGTTTGACGCTTCCTTTTCAGTTAAATTTATCCCTGGTGGATGCGGTTCATCATCATGCGGGGGTCCAGAAGTCGGCTGCATTCAGGCATACAACAATACATATCATTATTGCGTCTGCACCACAGATGGGCAACCTATGAGAGATGACGTCATATGCCCCCGTAGTACAGGTATTGTCTACATCTTTTCTCTTACCATCATAAATATTCTCTATATAACACTATAATATAATCATGAACTTAGGAACTGAAAATAAACATTTTCAATATTCCTAAAGCTGTTAACTTATAAGGATTATAAATACGAAGTTTTACTTCCAGTACCACTAACACAAAGGAAAGCTATTCACAATGTAATCCCACCAGTAACGTCAAATAGTACGGAACCAAGATACCCACCACCATCACCCACCGCACATGTAAGTTATAGTATTTCATACTAGCTTGGCCCAGACGGATTTAGTTCTAAGTATGAAGAGTCAAATTATGTCTTTGGGAGAGATGGTGTTTCCGAATACCTCATGTATAGAATAAAAAATAAGTTATCAAGATTATCTAGGTTTGTAGCGAATCGTTGGCGGTTCCTGAATAGGATAACACAATACATTGTTGCCCCAACGACAACTATCATTGTCTAAACGCCGCCAAACATCTGCACTGACCCCTCAATTGAAATCATTTCTATTTTTGTATTTGAATTGGTCCCAAATTACCTGGGAAGGAATATTGCACATTGCCAATCATCGCATTTCCGGACACATACCGTCTGTAGTTTACGCAAGTCACAACGTCGGACCGTAGTTAAGATCATTTTTAAATAAGTTTAACTAAAATATTTCGCGTTATAAATTAAGCAGGACTTGAACCGACATACGCAGCGTTCCACGCTCTTGCTCTTTATGCCTCGCGTAAAATTATTTTAATCTATAATCGATTTTTAATTTATATAGTGCAATCATGTGCAACAATGTTTGAAACATTTAATATGTTTTATACAAATTTATATTCATAAATGAAAGCATTACGTTCAATTACAATTAATTCTTTAAAAAAAAATTCCTCGAAGTTCTCACTTTGTGATGTTTTTGGTTTTCCAAAAAATCAAGAGTGCGGTTAATTGAATCCTATTTTACTTTGTCAAAGGCTTTCACAATCAATTTTCTAATTATAAAAAAAAATCAAATAAGCGTCAGATCAAAAGAGGTTAAAATAAAATTAGGCAATGTCTACAACGGACTGTAAATTTTCCATGGACTCTGATAAATATTCATAAAACCGAGATAACATCGGACGGATGCCCATCACGCCTAAATGGAGAGCTATCACAGTCGTTCTATGTAGAGGCGTGACATAAAAATAATTATCTTTTGATAACTCATTTCATAAACTAAAGAAAATTTTGGGATCACAGACTACTGGGGCTATTTATAACGGGCATCCACCTGGTGCCTGGTCTCTGGTTCACCACGTCTATCGATATTTCGTTTCCATTTATTGTTAATTATACTATCGTCAATTATACTTACTGCTATTCTATATCATAATGGTTTGCCTGAAATATACTTATTTATAACGATAACATTTTTAAATATAACAATTTAACGGTAAATCAAAATATATTAGTAAAACTTATTTAAAAAATATTTAACGACGACCCGACGTTTCTGATGCTTCCCAGCAGGCGTGGTCACGGCTTTCATCATTTGTAAATGCGTTTAAGTAATATATTTCGCGTTTTAAGCCGTCAAAGTTTATTTAAATGTGTACTATTAGCGTAAACTATAGACAGTATATAATATGAGGCCGCTAGAGGCAGAGTAGCCTAACTGCAATTTTATGACTTGAGTTATTCATATTTTTATTGCCTAAAAATGTTAAGAGAACAATGGCCAGATATTGTTAACATAATTCTTACACAAATAATATTCATTTTCCTTATTGAAAACCGTGATTTGTTATTAGGCCACTCTGCCTCTAGGTAGCCTCACATCTTTTCTTTTTCTTAATATTTTATTTAGGAAAATAGTAAAACATCGATATATATATTTTGTTTTTTTATTTCAGGGTGCAAATCCATTAATAAGCAGCGAAATAACGGAAGCGACGGGCACTGACCCATCATACATCGGTGGTAACGTCCACTCGAGTGCAAGTGCCCCAATTATCGTCACTATGGTCGCTGGCTGTGCCTTCTTCCTGGTCCTAGTCACGATAATAGTATTCTTCTACCTCAGAAAACGAATCTGTGATGTCGACGGAAAGGTCAAACCGGTAAGATTGCAAGCTTCAGCTTTCCACCACCACTTGTGAGGAAAGAATAGCTCTGCTAACCTAAAAAAATGTTAACACATTTTGAAAAAAGCAATGCTATTTAAGCTAATAATAACGTATGAGGAAGAGCTTAACGTATGTATTTGGGGCAGTATTCAGAAGTGGGGAAACGTATATTTTACGCTTAAATCACGTGCTATTCTTTCTTCTTAAAAACCTCATGTCGAAAGTCATTTGTTATTAAAGTTTGCTTTGGCATCGACTGCTTAAACGTTATCTTTGTAGCGTGTACGACCTGGCGAGCCTCTGCTTGCTGAACGGTATATAACGAACCCGCAGTACGGCGTCTGTGGTGCGGGGACAGTGGCGTCGCTGGTATCTGTGCCTGGATCACCAGCCCCACATCACGGCAACGAGACAACGGAGCAAGAAGTCACTCTGCTGGACCGTAATGCCCTGACGTTCCTGGAAGAAGTAGGGGAGGGGTGCTTTGGAAAAGTTCATAAAGGTACCTAACATGTATCTATTAGAATTGACTAACACTCAGCAATTAAACAAAAATCTTTACTTGATAGTTAGGTTTTCAAGTAGGAACTTGCCGAAACTTGGCCGAGCAACATGAAAAGTCAAAACTCAGTAGCTTCACTTACTAAATTGTAATTTTAACTCGTCTGAAACGTCTGTGGTTAAATTAAATTAAACTGTTTATTTAAAACCATTTTTTTAACTAAAATGCAATTTTTGTTAACCCTTATTTTGTACGTTTACTTGTATGTTTGGTTTTGTAGACCTTAAAAAAATACTACTAAATACACATTTTACTCTACATCTTTACAGGTGTACTTCGCATCAACAGCGGTGAGCAAGTAGTAGCTATCAAAGTGCTGAAGGAAAGCGCTGGGCGCAGTGCCGAAGAAGACTTCGTTAGAGAAGTGTCAATTATGTCTGCGTTCCGGCATCCTAATATTCTGAGTTTGGTTGGTGTTGTTTACAGAGGTACGTAAAGATAATACCATATATAATAACCAAAGATTGTATGTCATATTTTCATTAGACTATATGTATATGGCTGTGTATTTCACCTTGCATGAAATGAACCCGATTTATATCCGTCCACTTTTAAAATAAAAAAATACTAAGGCTAATATTAAAGCTCATTTTAATCATTTACAGACGATATCAATGCTAGTCCATGGATGGTCTTCGAATACATGGAGTGGGGTGATTTAGCTGGCGTCCTCCGTGGATCGCGCGGTGGCGGCAGAGCAGGACCTACCTTAGTCGAACCAGCACTGTTGCACATCGCTCTTCAAGTAGCGCGAGGCATGCAGTATCTAGCCTCCAAGCGTTTCGTACATAGAGACCTTGCCGCCAGAAACTGCTTAGTAGGGGCTAATCTCTCTGTAAAAATAGCAGATTTTGGAATGTCCCGTGATGTCTACACCTGTGACTATTACAAAATGGGTGGTGAAAGACCCATGCCAGTGCGATGGATGTCGCCAGAAAGCATCGTTTATGCGCGGTTCACCCATGAATCTGATGTGTGGTCGTATGGAGTTGTGTTATGGGAAATTTACAGCCGCGGCAAACAGCCCTACTACGGCTGTAACAACGACGATGCAACGAAACGCATAACAAACGGAATACTATTAGTTCCTCCTGAAGATTGTCCGCAGTTCGCGTGTAGACTGATGAAGGAATGTTGGGCGACGGATCCCAGAAATAGGATTGGCTTTGACGAGATTTGTAGGAAGCTCGAAGTAGCTGCTGCGGCTGGTGGGAATGCTCAAATACGGTTACCAAGGCCACCGCCACCCCCCCAAGACTCCACAGGGTATTTAATCCCAACTAAGACGACGTGTAATGACTATTTGAAGCCACTTCCCGATTTGGACCCAGATTCGGAATTCAGCGAAGACGAAGACATAGACGACGATTATACTTGACGTCCAGCACCAGCTCCGGTGTCCCAGTATGTGCCGCGAACTTCGCCCAGGGCTGAACCTACAGCCTTTACATTCCTCTCTCAAGTGAACTTCGAACAATTTGAATGTTAAATTGTCGTTGTAAAGTTGTGAAGGAAATACTCAATTATATTTTTTTGATGCGATACAATGTGAATATAGAAATAAGTTATAACAAGAAGTATACGTAAGGATAATAAAATATAGTTATGTATATGTAACTAGTATTGTTATTGATTTAACCATGTTAAAATTTTGATGTGCCATATTAAATAAAATACCAAAAACAAACGTTTGTATGTATAGAGTAAAAATATTTTAATATTGGATCAAAGACCTATACGACAATGGAGGCCTAAATATAAAAGGAAGCAACAGCTATTAAAAATTTATATTAAAACACCTGTTAGACTTACAAAAGAAAACCCAATCATAATAAGAACTATATACTATTTTTTAAATATAACATTTAACGTTTAAAACGCAATATATTAGTTAACTAATATATCGCGTTAAAGTGTTCTATTTAAATGTGTACTACTCGCGTAAACTATAGACAGTATTTACCAATGAAAAATGGACTTTCATCTAACATCTCTGTAAAACTGTAAACAATCCTGCATGTCAAAGCATGTGAAACCGCGACAGAATATAATTTTAAGATATATTATTAATGTTTCTCCAAGGGTTACATAGACCAAAAACTATTATTAATAATTAAAACTGATGAATAGAACTTTATTTTGATTCAAGATTGCATTTTTACTTAAAACTATTGTATGTTGGTGTTATTAGATTTAAATAAACTATTTACACAATTATCGTGAAGCTGAGTACTATTCAAGTATTTTTTGTAAATATTATGAGGGCAGATAATCCGCATAATTATTATGTAATTAAGATCAGTGTGAAATGGTCTTGTAAAACATATGTATATGGTAAAACAATTGTATCATACGAATTACGAGTATTGTACGTTATTTGTACTCTGACTTTTTGGATGACATTATAAATATTATATAATATTAAACAAGTTAGCTTTGTTTTATTTATATATATTATATGATTATGATCATCCCTAATGACTATTACCCATTGTATAGTACCTACAAGGAAACGACTTAAATATACTTTTATATAATTTTTTTTGTTTACTTAACACCAGCTATGTTATCAATCGTCTATATTAATACGCCTATTAAAAAGCGCAAAGCAAATATGACATATTAAGAAATAACTTCAACACCCATCTAGGCGTAACGTTTTTCACAAAATATAATTTAAGCTAAATCACAAGGTAATTGCTGCGAATCGTTGAGGAATTTCTTTGACTGTCTCTTGGCTCCATTATCATATTTGCGTCAAACCTTTATTGCATTCAGTAATGTAATAAAGAGGATTAATCATAATCTGTTTATTAAGTAACAGACATTTTGTAAACAAACAAAAATAATACATAGAAATCAAAATGAGAACCGCAAAAAATACTTTTTCTATTTTCTTTTAAAGTTTGTTAAAAAGACTTAATTAATGGTCGATAATTAAAACATATTACATATTTTAATACGAAGATCATGATCATCAAATTCGCGGTAAAAGAATTAATGTTTATACAACTCTCTATATCCCTTGCACAGATAGTCTGTCTTTTTAATTAGCTTTCGGCAAGTTACATTCCTTCAATGTCAAGTTATTCTTTTGACATTTGGTGTTTTGTTTGTATGACAGATAGCAAACACTGTCAATGTTAGCTCTTACCAATTGAAGTTAAATGTGAAAATAATTTCATTGATCTTTCGGTTTCGTTTTAGCGCTGGGTTTTATTTTGAAATATAATAATATAATGGTGTTTTGTGTATCCTTAAAGTATTTCATAAAAAAGAGTGTAAGGTTGTGTATCATGTAATAGTAAGAAGAAAGTTAGTTTATTCTCCAAGCGAAAATGCCTCCAGTCAATTCTAAAGGCAAAAAGAACGGTGCCGAGTATGAGGTAAATATTGATGTAGCTAAACAAATAAATTACGTAGAAGCTTTCTAATTTTTGTTTAAGCACACTGCCTTTCAGAATTTCTTAACATAATTAAATCTATACGTTCAATAGTAAAACTAAAACAGTAACATGATCGCATATTTGAAAGATCCCATTACGTTCCCACTTCCCAATTCTTTTCTCAATTTACACAATAAAACTTACTATGCAAATACTGTTTTTCTAGATAATATGACTAACGTCACTTAAATGTTTTTAATAAACAATTGGTTTGTGCACTACAAAACATCTACCTTGTGTATATTTAAACGTATTTGTACTGTTTGAAATTGGCTCGCTTAATATCCATAATATTTACATAACGCTAGGCACTAGGCATTGTCTTCAAACAAGGTTAAATACTGCTTTGGCTTCCTTAGTCATAATAAGACATGGTTTTCGCTGCATTACACAAGCTGTGAATAGTGTACCAATGGAAAGTGTTGTATTACAGAATATCATTACAACCAAATGTACAGTGTTGGATTTCGAGAGGTACATACAAGAGAACAAAACATTATTACTTAATGATCCCTTAAGAGACATTCTCTTGTATCCATCTGATGATGTTTCAGTAAGTTTTTTACATTGTAAACAATTAATATTTATATGTATGACCTGTGTAATAAGTATTTCCATATATTGAGGTGTGTTAATTGGAGTTTTAATGATTTTGAAGTAATAATTATGTAATATACACAGAGTGTGGTGTTGCCTAGACGATGGAGGACAGTGACCACAGCCGTACCAGATGTGAGAACGGCTGCAACTTGCCCTCTACTAACTAGGCAAGCACTTCTCAGCTATGCTTCTAGTTGGAATCTTGTCCATTATAAATATAGTAATTATTCTGGATCTTATCATAACTTGCCTAGGTAAGTATTTTCCTTTTATTACATGTAATATTTAAACGTGTTGCACATAGGCAACAGTAAGAGTTAACAATTTTGTAAAGTTAAGCATATGGCTTACTGACTCTTTAACTACTGAACAATTTTAAAGAAACCTTAGAGTTGTAAAGGCATTTTTTTTACTATTACAACACTCTATGTAATCATCTACTGTGTATAGTAGACAAATAGATCTTCCTGCTTATGTAGTATAAGGAATTTCTTAAGTGTTCAAATGAATCACTAAATGGGGTGTTATCATAAGGTAAATATGTTCTGGCTTAGCTAGTCATTAGCAAACCAATTATAATAGGATTCACGGTCAATTTTTAAAATGCTCAGTTTGTAATAAATGCTGAAGGTTAATTTACTTGAAAGGTGAATATTAGCTGCTAACTAATCATTAGAATGGGGCATTTGAATATAAATTGTATTTTCTGTCCTTCACATTATTAGTATTTTTATATAAATTATTGTTTAACCTTTAGTGATCTACTGCAAAGAAACATTTACTAGACTTGAGTTTATATAATAAAATGGTATAAAAAATTTTCAGACCTCTAGATACTAAGTTGCCTTTGGAAATTTACGATATAGACACAGAAACGGAATGTGACCATGATGCTCAAAATAAAGTGGATGTCGGAACCAAAGAAGGTTATCTCCTCAAAGGACCTGAAATTGGCTCAGATAGAATATTTGGTAACCTAGCTTCCAAATCGTTTAAAAAACGATATTGCTCAATGGTGAAAGAGGCTGATGGAACCTATATACTTGAAGTATATAAGGATGAAAAGAAAACGGATACAAAGCTTACAATTGTTATGGATTTTTGTTCTGATGTTGTCAGGGTCAGTACCTGTTAACACACTACTTTCATACTTTTATAATGATATCTATTTAGGGTTATCATACCATATTGAACATGTCTGTAATTTGCCACATACAAAAGGTATATGTTAATATGTTGATTAGCTAATATGTTCCTAATAAAATTAATATCTTTTCAGAACACAAAACGAGGTAGATTCTGTTTTGAGTTGCGTATGTCTGGGAACAAAGGTTACACATTTGCCGCTGAAAATGAAGAGGAAATGAAAGAATGGATTAATTGCTTTACTGCAGCACTTAAGAAGAATCACGATCAGGGCAATCATCAAAATGATGAGATTTTGGATAAAGGTAAAAATAATGTTATTTATAAAAAATTTTTTTTTGCTTTTAAATGAAAATAAATTTTTAAATTATTTTTAGAAGTCGACTTTTTCAGATTGTTTATGTACTGCGTAATACACGTTGATTGTTATAATATAACGTAAAACAATATTATTGTTTTCTTTTTTTTTAGTATAATTTACATATTATAAAATGGGTGCATGATTGAAAATTAAATGTGTCAAAAAAAACCCGACAATCTTAAATTTCAACTCAGTTATAAAGATTTTAATTGTTTAGATGCAGATATCTCACTAACAGCTGAACCGCCACCTCTAACATACGGAACCTTGAAGGGACTTGAACACAGTATGAATCCTATGCTGATGCGTTATTCACGGGAAACTGATCTTTCTATAGCTGCTGCTAGAAACGAATGTCGATCTAACATTTTCAATTTGCCATACAAGAGAACACCTTCACCAGAACCACAGTTAGAACCATTCAAGTAAGTTATTAACTGCCTTTGTGGCAAAAGACCTAATCTAATAGTAGGACTTCATTATTCCTTGCGAAAAATTTGTTTAAAAGAATTAATCTTATTTAAATAATTAAAAAAAAATCAGAACGCCATCTTTTATTATAAACACACAGGAACCTTTTTTTATGGTAATCAAATTTAGTCATAATATATATATGGCAAAAGAACGTTTGCTTGTTTAGCTAGTTGTATACAGTAAAAACTCTTATCATATTTATGATATACCCCGCGAATACTTAAACCGAATATGGAATGATAATTTATATGGTAGGGATGCGTTCCTAGGTGAGAAAAAAATTTGAATAATTTTCTTAAAAAACTAGCTGTGCCCGCGACTACGTTCGCGTGGAATAGTGACTTGGGGTAGAATTTTTAATTGTTTAGGCTGTTTATTAATTTATGTAAGGGCGCATTGAAGGCAGCCAATCTAGGTTGTAAGTGCTACTTTGGCCGCAACACTCACCTCACATCACTCCTACTCTAACTCCCACTCTCATTCCTACACTCACTCCCACTCCCACTCCTTTTCCAAAAAAAACACGAATTTCCATACAAACTTTCATCCCCCTTTTCAACCCCTTTCAACCCTTTGTTGGCATTAAAAAGTAGCCTATGTAGTAATTTCGGAGTTAAAGCCGGACAGACAGACAGACAGAGTTACTTTCGCATTTATAATATTAGTAGATTTTAAGGCCTTCGCCTAAAGGTTTGAAGAATTATATACAACAGTCGCATTAGCAATATGCCTCTTAAAAATAAAATTTCGTTCAAGAGACTAGATTAATAATAAGATCCAATATAATAAAATAGAACCTTGTTTATTATTGGAGCTTTACTGTATAACTAGGCAATGCGAGAACCTAAAAATGTTCATATATATATATTTAACGTTACGTAAATAATTATTCTTAAACAGCAAACCATTGAAACAGGATAAAGTAGCGATAACGCTTAGCAAATATAGTACAGTGCGTTCGTTATTAGGGAAAGATAACAATGTTGCATAATAATCGGCTCTTTCTCGTTAAATAATACACATAGAGTAATTGATCAAAGACCCCCTGTGTCTCACAGTGAGTTTACCACGATAGGTCGAACGTTTTATTTCCAGGAAAAAATATACCCGTCTATATTCTTAGGTTAAATGATTCCTGTAAATATTAAGTAAAAGGAAACTAAAAACATAAGAAACGGATACCAGATTTTATTTTGGGACCATTTTGTTTGAATAGTTTTGAATTATTAATAATTTCATCATTAAATAACCTATAATCATTTACAAAAAACTTATTAATAATATCTTTAATTAGAGAATTATAATTTAACTTTTAACTACCTGCGATTTCTGCGATCATCATTTACTATTATTTCATAAACATGTACATTGAATCGTTTTCTCTCTGCTTCTTCGCCCCTATTGATGACAAATAGCAATAATGTTTTATTGCCTAAAGCTTTTTTCGATAAATGGTGTTGCACCAACACCATTTGTCATATAAAAAGTCAATTCGAATCAATTCCGACATATTGCGTTCAAACAGACAAACAATCTCTTCAGCTTTATAATATTATTATACATGAAAGCTAGTGAACTTATTCCGTACATAAATAAAAATTCTTTAAAAAATTGTGTATACATTTCCTTTTCCAGAGAACACTTTGGCCAAAGAATTTTGCTCAAATGTGAGAGTCTCAAGTTTAGGTTACAAGCGCCGATAGATGGCGATAAGGAATTGTTATGCCAAGTAGAACCGTATTTCACTCACCTAGCCGTATATGACGCGCGTAGCGGAAGAAAAGTGACAGAGAACTTTCATTTTGACCTCAACCACGCAGCTGTTAAGGATCTAGTCAAAGAGAATGAGTGTACGAGGACTTTGATGGAGAATTTTAGCTATGATATCAAGGTGGATGTAAAACAAATACCGGATGAATGGTTTAGATCCACGAAACAGGTGAAAAGATTTTTCTTCACAATTATACCTGCTAGATATTTTAATCTTCTATTTTTGTTGAAAGTTATAATTAGTTGTCTATTAGAAAATATCACACACTTAACATTTATCAGAGAGAAAAAAAGAGAACAAGAGAGAGATAGAGACAGAAGATTTATGAAGACACTAGAGTCTAGTAAAAAGTCCATGAGAGTAAAATAGTTTCAACAGTTTTTATATGCTTAATATTTATTCCTTTAATACGATGTTGCCATCGTTAGATTCACCTTCCATCAAATGAAAGTCATACATGTCTGTCCTGCTCTATCATAAAAAATGTTATTGATTCATAAGATTACTAAAAATAATTTAAACTTTTTTAGGTGATCTTATCCGTGAACAATCCGCATCCGGACTTATTCTTAGTGGTGAGGATAGACAAGATTCTCCAAGGTCACGTTAGCCAAGTTCTAGAGCCGTATCTGAAGGCGACGAAAGATCCACGCCTTGGTCTCAAAGTTCACAAAAATGTTCAAGCTTACGCAAATCGTGTTGGGAGTTATAGAATGCCGTTCGCTTGGGCTGCCAAACCTTTGTTTAGGTGAGGACTTCTCTATTTATATACATAGTTTTATTGATTTATTTATATATTTACACACATCCTGCCAAAGAAACCCAATTCGATAGTGTCCGTAACTATATTAGTAAGCTGTAATTTGTTTTGGATTGATTATTATGTATTTTGGCTCGGGGTCGTCAATACTAACCAGGCGTTTGAACGAGTTTGCTAGACCAAAGGCATCCCAAGGGTTCCATCTGTCTTGGACCACCACAGTGTATCGGGCGACCCCCAAAGAGCGTATGCGGAGCAAATGACCTCGCCTGGGTTTGCGAACGATCGGTGCCGGGGCCGTACAATAATGATACTAACTAATACACAATACAGTTACAATATACGTTAAATATCGATTATAAAATGAAGAAATTTACTACACGGGTAGGATTTGAATCAACATCTACAGCGTTTCTTGTTCAGCTTTAACCAACTCGACACGTGTCTTCACGTGAATTCAGTAGCACTATAATATTAGAATTACAAATGGCGTCGGACGGCTAGCAAAACTATATAGTATAGTGTTTGTTATAGCAACAGTACCGAACGCTGTGGACGCCGGTTCAAGTCCTGCCATTTCCATTTACATACATTTTTTTCAATTTGTAATAGATCTTTAATTTATATTATAGTGCCATCAAATCTTAAAGTTTTCTAATGGTTACAATATAGTTAGAATTAATCTTAATTAAAAAATTTCAATAAAATATTGTTTTATAGACTTTACAGTAATGATCTGGACACAACACCTGAATTCCCAGCCATCTACCGCCAAGAGCCGAACAAGATGTCAGATGATGACTTGCTAAAGATCTTACTGGATTTTCGAAAGCCCGAGAAATTGTCAAAGCTGACAGCTATACCCGGTTGGCTTTCAATCAGTATTCAACAGAGTAATGAACAAATACCAAGTATGTATCATATATCTTCTATATAAAAATAGTAATTATAATATAATATATACCTTGACCCAGAGAATAGAATTATTATCATGATAAATTATGAGCCTTTATGTATAAATCAGCTGTGCCGACTTCTTCCGCGTAGAATAGTTTTTTGGGCACCAAAATTTGTTTTTGCAAACCTCTTGTTCGACTCTATAAATTAACCACGACGATTTACCCGGGGAAGCAATTATATGAGAAAATCAATCTTTCATTTATATATTTTGGGTTAATTAAATCTTTTCGCACTGACGTACGCATAAGGATAGATAATTCTTCAATTAATAATATCAAACTACTGTTTTCACACTGAACAGTATCTGTTTTTTTCTGTAAAATCATGTTTAGTGCAAATTTTATATTTATTTGTTAATAGTACCCACTTGTATGTAGAATGTTTGGAATGAAATGTAAGACCGAGCGAGATGACATTATGTGTGAAAAGGAAGGAGAGAGAGAGATTAAAGATGGCGAATTAAGATGTCGGACGTAAACAATTGATTGTTGAAGAGGAAGACAATATTAAATTTATAGATTTATCAATATTTTATTATTATCCTTTCTAGTAAAGTTATTACACCATTAGAATTATACATAATGTATAATCTATACCGTTTATTCTTTCTAGATTGTTTGACTAGTTCCTACGCTGCTCTAAAACCGTTCCCGCTGCCGCCTACATCGCCGCTCACGTTAGAGCTATCAACCTACAATTTCGAACCAGACCAGCCCTACGCAGCGTACATCCACCATTTGTATGTGCGACCGCTCTCACTAAATTTTGAATCGCAGAAGGTATTCGCACGAGCGAGGAACATCTCTTGCACTATCGAATTGAAGGACAGCGATACGGGCGATGTGAAATCATTACAGGTGTGTATTTATGTATGATAAAACGCAGATTTAAACTGAGCATTAGACATTATACCAAAGAGCCTGAGTATATCTTCATATCTATAATAATTATAGTATAGGACATTCGTAGATGTTTTGTAATGCGCTTTATGTGCATGCGCAACACGTTGCTTATTCTTGCTGGATGCTAGATTACTGGACACTTCCTTTATAATTCTTAAGACAGAATTCGTATGTCGAAATGTAGTAGGTCTATTTATTATTATAGATTTAAAATCAAGTTTTATTGAACCTTAGCGGGTGTAATAAAATCTTTAAACCAAATATTTTTTTTTAGAAAACTCTTTATACCTTATTATAACATTATTAGTTTTAACTTTTTATGTATTTTTACTTTAAGAAAATCTTACTACACTTATTTTAAAATTCATTTTTTTTTAAGAAATATGCAAGTATATTTTACGAGACGAAAAAATCGTTGCATGTCTTTCTTTTATCTTGGTAATATTTGTTTTATTTTTCAGATAATACACGGCCGGGTCGGTATGACTGATCACTACAGGTGCTCTGTACTACATCACAATGCAAATCCGAGTTGGTGTGACGAAGCCAAGATACGACTGCCGACTACTCTCACAAACCAACATCATCTGTTGTTTACTTTTCACCATATATCATGCGATATCGCTAAGAAGAATGATACTAATGTTGAAACTTGTATTGGGTAAGTATTAGGCTGGAGTTAGTAATTGTATTATAAAAATGTTTTTATAATTCTTGGTGTGAACACATCAATCACACATACAATCTAGGGCAATATGGTCTATCTTTATTTTGGTACTACAGCTAATTCGTAATATCGTACCCATATGTCATAATAAAAATTATTGCACACAAAATGTTAAGTACATTTCCAATACATTAAAATGTTTAAACGTTTTAGTTAACCTATTTGTATTTCACAAAACAATATTTTAAAAGTGTTGATAATTATGTTTTGTTTTCTGAAAAAAATGTAAAAAATGAAGGATAATTGAAAAGTATGAATTTTACATGATAATTTTATGCAAACATAATGGCCCATGTGGTTCCGTAGTATAACCCCGTGTCCTGCCCGTGTCGTAAAAGCTCTTCAGTCTAAATAGGATAAGTTATCAGTTTAGTATTGATATTTGAGTTTTGTAGTAATAACTAAACAGTAAAAATCTTTCTCTTAATTTCTAAAATGGAAACCAGAAGAAAAACACAGCTATATATAAGCTACAATTCTAATTATATTTTTTACTTTAGGTATTCATGGGTGCCTTTGCTGAAAAATGACAAATTTATTGAGGAGTTGGTCAGTTTGCCTATTGCCACTCACTTGCCGTCCGGCTATTTGTCTATACAACCTCTGGGTCTTGGAAAAGGGGTGAGTCGCCATTCACTGTTCTTCTTATCTCTAAATCTCCATTTAAATTACATATAAAGCGAAAAACAAACATTTTCATATATTTACTGTTATTACACTATTTAAAAGTTGTTTACATCTTCTTTTTGAAACATAAAAAAAACCCAAGTTTTTAATAAATCTTACACTCCTATAGTTTAATAGTTCAATGTCTCTCCGATGATAAGTGTTAGTAAAAGAGCTTCTTGTATGTGATTAAAATCTCTCCAAAATTATTTAGGTCTGGCAAGACTTAATGTCGTTCAATTTGAATAGTCCCACGGCAATTGGGGATATCGCTTCCTATAATTTTTTGGCACTTAGAATATATCTAATTTAAAAATTTATTTCCTTAGAACACTGGACCTGAGGTTGTATGGGTGGAAGGCGAGAAGCAGTTATTTAGATGTCAATTGGTGCTCGATTCCACCGTGGAAACCAGAGACCCTCACTTGCATACATTATTCAGCTCGATAGAAAGACTAATGAATACGACATCGCCCCCCTCTAGTCCTGTTTCTCCCCCCTGGCATGACGTCACTAGCGCACTTAGGGCTGCGCATGCGATACAATTAAGTTCTTTAGTTGCCTTCTTGCCGACTATACTGAATCAACTTTTTGATCTCATGGTGAGTTTAATGACACCTTATATTTTTAAAAGAGTATTTTTTTACATTTATAAATGAATTACTTTTATCGGCATAAAACACGAAATATAATAATAACTTAGTCTTATTAATTTTAATTATTATTAATATTACGCAACGTTTTGAAAGTTTTGCAGAAGTCGCTAAAATATATATAAGTTAATTAATATTTTTCTCGTTTCACACCGATTAACACGTTTTATTTAAATGTGCACTATATATCAAATTGACCCTATAATTCAAGAATACTTCATTATAAATAAAAAGGACCCGCTAGATTTACTCTTTTATATGCAAAGCGTAAAGATTTCTCTTATTGTGTATTTTCAGACAATTGATAAAGGCTACTCACACGACACTGGCTATCAAGTTGTTAAACTAATCATACAATTCGTTCATATGATACACGAGTATGGCCGTAAAGATTTACTAGACAGTTATATAAAGGTAAGATTCTTATTGAGTGAAAATACGTTTAATTTATTATACCCTACTAAATGTTTAATCCCGCCCGCCTCTTTGGTTGAGTAAATAGTTGAGCAATTGGCCTGGCACTAAAATCGAAGTTTCGGTCGGGCAGGGCATAGACTATAGAGAGTCTAATCAACTGCTTGTCAAAAATCTTCTTGAACAACTTTTATGAATAAAAAATAAGCAATTGGCTTGATTAAACACAATATTTTTTATATTTGTATAACTTTTTTCAGTATGTATTCAACTGCGTAGAATTCAAGCTACATACTGTCTTGACAGCACCACTACACATGTTCGTTGACCCGACGCAACAAGACTTTCTGTTGGGACATAAATTCATGCAATACTCCAGTTTCTTCTTTGATATCATAGTTAAAAGCATGGTTCAATATTTGATCAACACTGGACGGATTAAGGTAATTTTTTTTTCACTTAGTATTGCTATCTCTTTCTAGGCCATGGTTCTTGTAAGGAAGAAAACACTTAATAATAATGATTACGGATAGAGTATACAATATTCTTTTGACAAACTTATATATTAACCGCTTTTGAATAAAACACTTTTGACGGTGCACAACGTGAAATGAATAAGTGCAGTGCAGCAGCTGTGGTTATTTCGGTTCCGGTTATTCGAAAATACACAGATTTAACCGGAACCACCAAGCTTGTCAAAAAAAGTCTTTTTTTTTATATAACTAAGTTTTTTTTTTCAGATGTCTCGCCATGAACGATTTCATTCAGAGTTATTGGAGAACATTGATAAATTGGTCAGTACCGTTGAGCCATCGTACATATTACAACAGCCACTGCAGACCCATATATTTAATAAGAATTTGGCTGTTTTTCTCAAGGTAAGAAAATATTATCTTTTTTGCCTTCTTGATAAATGCAGGACTAGTCATCATGTAATGATTAAAAGTTCATAATCAACGACAATTCTCATAGATTTTCTTTTTTCAGTCTTGCCTTTCATTTATGGACCGCGGTTTTGTGTTTCGCCAAATTAAAAAATATTTAGAAAAGTTCAAAAGCTGCGACCCGAAAGCGTTGTTCGACTTCAAATTCACGTTCCTACAAACAATATGCTCCCACGAACACTACGTGCCATTTAACTTGCCTCTACCTGCTAATAAAATCGCCAAAGATTGTGATGAAGGTACATTTTCAATATATTATATAATACTAGCTGGCGTTACATTGTTTGCCATTTAAATAATTTTACTAAAATGTCTATTAAAAATAAGGGTTGATCGTAGAAGGGTGAAAATTTAGGATGATTTTGAGGCATAAAAAAATAAAAAAAAAAAATTAAGGGTGAACCACCCTTATCACTTATGGAAAATAGATGTTGTCCTATTCTCAACCTATTGAATTATATATTTACAATTGCCATTCAAAAATTTCAATTCTAACGTTCAGTTGTTTCCCAGATCCAGCTAAGTTGAAATTGACTGAAGATTTTGTAATGCGACATTTTTTGGCTGGCGTCTTACTTAAACAAGTAAGTTATTGCTTATACCTCTAACTAGCTTGTGGTCCGTAGCCACAAGGTAAAAACGGAACCCCGTTACTGTTTGTTTGTCAGGCAACCGTAACCGCGATTTCTGATTTTTACTAAATTATGTATATATGTAGTCGCTATGCAACAATTGCCAGAAAAAAAAACATTTGAAAACTTTAATATTTTTCACACGATGTCATTATATAAAATAAAAACACATTACTATTTGAAAATGTACTTATTAGTACAACCACATATTGCTCTCATATAATAACACGTCGCATCTGCTTTGCATTTGTTTTTACTATATGAGATTATTTTAGACGTAGAGTCAATACAATGAAACCTATGCACTTGGCGGGCTTTATATTACTCTATTTTAGATTTCAAATTAAATATACATTATTAAAAATGTTGGAGCCTGATAAATCTTCGCTATTTTTCAGGTGGAACAGTCCCTTCGAGAGGCACCTCAGAAACGACGTGTAGCTCTAGCCGTATTGCGCAATTTACTCACAAAACATGAGCACGATGACCGGTATAGGACGAGACAAGCGCGTGCTCGTCTGGCTCAGTTATACGCACCTTGGCTCACCGTTGTACTTGGTAAGAGAGAACGATATTTTTTATGATAGAGAAGACAGACAAGCTTACGTTTCACTTAATGTAAGGTGAAATACCCAAGGCATATAACGTTCAACAACTTGTCGTTTTTGCCTTTGAATATTCTGAAATCCACTGACTAAAACCTATAGATTAAAGTCCACGGCATTTTCATCTGTGAACGATCGGACCCGTGAGCCATTGATTGCTACCATAAGACCAAGTGGTATATAATATGCCTAATGAACATATTTATATATTACTTTAGATATGTTCTTTAGATTAATTATTTAATTTCTAGACAACGCGCACCGCCTAGTGACGAAGACTTTAGCGAGTCCAGTCTTAGAAAACGGGTTCGACAAAGTCGACGGTGACGCGACGGTGCATCCAGTGTTAAACAATGCACAGAAAGAAATAACGTCAGCGAACAGCACGCCGCGACGCAATCGGCTTACACTGCACTTCGATCACACGCCCGTAAGAAACTCCGCCCACTACAAGGATCCACCAAACATCGCTATTAACATGCATGGAAAAGGTAAAGTTTTCACGAAATATGCCTAAGATATCTAAAATTTGGTCTATTATATTCTAACTATAGTTTACGCGTGTAGCACTAATTTAAATAAAACTTTGATTTTTTATCATTTACAGCAACATTTACGTGACCTATACGTACCCACTTCACAGAAAAACCTACTTTGTATTTTTTTATATTAAACGGCTGCTGCAAAGCAATCGAAGCGTAGGGTTATATTTTAAATAAATTACTAATACAATTCGCGTTTTAAATCGTTATAAGAGCTTTTTTTTTAAATTTGAAGCACGAATTTCTGTGTAATTAGTACGTGCACGTCTCGTAACACTTGTTGCTGTTAATAATAAAAAAGTCTACAATTATATTAGATATATGTACAAGTAATACAAATTATATGATATTTCAATACCTCGATAAAAATATAAGGTACAGGGTTAGTGGCATTTTATTTATCTGTTTGCATACCCTAATATCTTTTTCAATATCTTCATACCTTTTAAATGTAGATGTAATTATATTTTAGATCACGTAAATAACATATCGCATAGTTCGCTCGAATCAGTCTCAACTATGTCTGGAGGAGATTCACTACCTAGAAACACACGATTGGACTTAAGTGAAATTGGTGATCAAGTTAACAGGTATTTGTTTTTATGAATCATAAATATCTTTACATTAAAACAATATACTAACATTTGTGTCATTAGAAATACAGTTGTAAGCCATAGTATATTACTCTCTCATTCACTACGAGTACGTGTAAGAGAGATGGCAACGTTTAGATCATTACAAACAGGTGTGGGTTTGTGTGTAGATTTGGTGTGATGTCCGCTGAGGAGGTTCGTGACGTCCTTCTGTGTTTCTTGTTTGTGTTGAAGTATTTGGACGAAGATAGACTAGTCGAATGGTGGAGGACGTATACTCAAGCGCAACAACAGTCGTTCTTTAACGTTTTAGAGTGAGTGAGCTTTAAAAAATATTATGTAGGATAAAGAGCTATATATAATTTCACAATAATCTGTTTACAATGTTTATTTGGCGTATCTTACACTATTTTGCATCTGTAGATCTAACTAGAATTGAATTATAATTCTATAATATGTACTACTAAAAATTGATTTTGGAGCATAGATGTTGTTATAAGTAATGTAATAAATACAAAATATAATTAGTTTTGCTAATAATCTCGCCCTTCATTTATTATTTACCAAATTACAAGGTAATTAATAATATTCAACCTTTTGTTATTTGATGTAAATACATTAAATATTTCTATCGCAATAGAATCATCATTTAAAGCGAGATTAAGTTATTAAATTTCCTTACAGAATATGTGCGGAACAATTCCAGTATGTCGGTAGAAAGAAGATTTTATCCGAGTTAAAAGTTCCTACTCCGGACTGTAATGATAAGTTCAAACCCGTGAAAGCTAGGACGTTGCCAGCGAGAATGAGCCCGCCGGACTTTTCAAAGGAACCACCGATAATCGTGGAGAAGAATAATACTGTTAATAGGGAGAATTTAGTCAACACTTCGGTGCCTACAGGTTTGTTTCAAAGATATTTTTTTGGACTGAAATAGTACACACACACAGGTAGTAATTCTATTTTTTATATTGGACATGTGTGATTACTAATTTTTTTTTGACTTAAATATGCTTATTAGTACGAGTACACTGAATAAACTTACTGCAGTACTTTTTTATATTATTTAAAGAATTTGCTTTAAAAATATTATAAGGCCTATTATGTAATATTTTTGAGGCTAAGATTATTGCTGACAGGCGTCCCTTTTGACAGCACTTTCCTTCTAGTTTTACTTAATATTTTAATCTCTTTATTTGATTCAATGGGAATTAAAGTTATTTATTAATTATTTATTAAATTAATAAATATTTTTGCCGAAAGTAATGTAAGCAGTTGTGATTATAGTTATTGCTATGCAATAACAATAAAAATACAAAATTGACTTGTAAGGTATATGATATTTATATTATGTAAATCTTTTCTTAAAGAACTAGAAGCGTTATCAGACCACGCTGTACTATCAGCCGGGTGCTTGGCTACAGAAGTAGGACTAACAATCATAGACCGGGCGTGCCTCTATATGAAGAACATAGGCGCCGCTGAAGGGCTAGCTGCCAAGCCATATTTGAAGCTTCTACAGTTGCCACAAAGCGAAACTCTCTACAAGCACTTATTTGCAGCATTAAGGGCGTATATCAATCAGTTTTCGGAAACGCTATTTGAAGGTATGCAATTTATTTCATTTTGTTTTCCCTACTCCAACTTTGTTATTGGTCTTTAATCTTCAGTCATACTTATTTTACTCTTTAAAATACCAGAATGAACTAAAAGAAACAATTGACTAACTAGAAAGAACTGAAAATTGTGTTTATCTGCTGATATAAGCTGAGTACCCCATTTTACAAACTTCCAACAAATACTATTTTTATATTCTATTATTGTTATTTGTTTCATTTTTATATATAATAATAAGTTTTATTTGTTAATGTTTCGACAATATATTTATTTCAAATTCATAACTTATTTTCTTCTCCCTCTTCTTCTTCGTGATTACTATCATCTTCCTGTAAGCGAAAAGCTTTTTGAGTCTTTGCATTTTAGGAAATACATTACGGAAATCTTAGACCATACCTAAACAAATACTATATGTATTATATGTATGTACTATATGTATGTATGTATGTATACCCTTGAGGAATTTATATGAATTTTAATCATTTTAGGTGGTAGCACCCTTTGTGCTGGTATAGTGAGTGCAGTAGTGAAGTTGTGTGAAGCCCGGGCAGCCTGGTTACGACGGGAGGCGGCGGCGTCCTTATATCTGCTAATGAGAGCGAATTTCCAGCATGCCACTGGTGGAAACCTTACCAGAGTTCACTTACAGGTAATGGTCAAATAGTATCTTAACAGTGCCAATAAATTAATAACACCTTACTTCAAATCATTGGTAAACGTAACATTAGACGATCAAAAAGGATTTCAGAAAATTTGACAATAAATAACTAATTACATAAGATTGTTAGGTTTTATATACACCCACTTTGTAAATAGAGAAGTATGTCTTGATGTTTGGATTTTTCCAGGTTATAATCGCCGTATCGAAACTCCTAGATAATTCGACAGCGCTCAACTGTAAACGTTTCCAAGAGTCACTCTCGGTTATAAACTGCTTTGCTACTGGAGATAAGGCTATGAAGGGAACTGGTAAATATCTCTTAAATTTAAATGTTTTTAAACTGGAAATATTTAAAGAAAATAATAATTTGCTTAAAACTCAAGCCTAAATTATAACGACAAAAATGTAATCGTTCTTTTAGGTTTATCGAGTGAAGTTGCAGAGCTCATGCGTCGCGTACGCACGGTCGTCGGCGCCCGCGCAAGGCTAGCTGGCGCTGCGGGAGGTGGTACTGGTAATACATTTTATACCAACTATTCATACCTGTCAAATATTGTATTATGTAACAATAATATATAAGATATTATTGAAACATTAATATCATTAATGACGTCAGTGAATTCCCCGACGTCGAGCAAAAAGGTATCTTACTAAGTGCGGAATAAGGTTCCTATTTCTTCCAGGTGCGGGCAGTATACAGCTTTCGGAACTACAATTCGCGTTGGCGGCATCGTGTCGTGCTACACCACGATTACGTCACGCTTGGCTCGCAACGTTAGCAGATCTGCACAGTAGGAATACTGACCATGACGAGGTGTGTATACAATAATCAACTTTGTTCTATAATAATAAGATTATATTTCATTTAAGCTCTTCTAAATAGAGAAACTCTTACCTACGAACTGGTAAACAAAAATGAATAAATCTCACTCTTTTCTTATCTGTTATCTCACTCTCTACTTTTTGCAAAACCTGTCCTTCATTGTAAACTTGTTGATAGTGATAAATTGCGAAATAAATGTATAGTTTCCAGGTAGCTTTCTGAGCCACAAGGAAATAAATATAACGACAGACTTTTATTGTTTATTGACATATGTAGTTAAATGGTTAAACATGTTGCCTAGCATTGCGTTAAGCACGAGAGGTCCCGAGTTCGAATTCCGGAGACTCGGAAGGGTCTTTCAGTCGAGCAGGGAACAGATGTCTAATCAATTACTTGCCTGTAAATAAAGCCGTAAACGGACAACAAACACGTGTTCGCCCCTACTGAAAGAAACGGAATTTTATTACTTTACTGTTTATTCATATAACAATAGTAAATTTTTGAGTTAGCCTTTAATTAATAAAGTTAATAGATTTAACCTCTTCCTTGCAGGCAATGTGTTGTCAACTGCACATAGCAGCGCTGATAGCAGAATACCTCAAATTACGCGGCGTACAATCGTGGGGTGCCGAAGCGTTCGCTGAGATTTCCAAGAATATTCCCAACGATGAGACTGGACTTAAGATTGACGAAGGTAAGAAAAACTATTTTCTATAATTTACCTTTATTAATTTCGAATTATAATATTTAAGATACACCCTTATAACGTCACGGCCTAATACAACATAGGAATAATTGATTTAGTTAATAAGTCCAAAAAACAATTTCTGCTTTGAAAAGGTGTCAAAATTTTAGTCAAAAAGATTCTCTGTCGTTCCAAGCGATATAAGTGATATAATAAAGAATACTAAGACGTAGGAGCAATTTCGCAGTCTTTCTCATAATCTAAAGAGACGACGTGTTTGGTAGATTCTTTGAAAGTATCGAGAGGGCAGAAGTTGTTACAGCCGGGCACCTCCATGAGTCGTGGCTCTGCGGAGTCGTCATCCCAATAATATATCTAAAAAAAGATTATTTGAGCCAAGTTTTAAATTAACAACAGATGTATGGCTAATAATAATTAACGTCTGGTTGGGGATGTTTCTAATCAATTATAATATAATTTTACTAAATTATGTTGGTATGATATTAAACGGGTGGTGGAAATATCGAAGTTCCGTCCGGCACAATATCACCGTCCATAGATGGAAAAGAATATCCAAATCCAAAATAGGTCGGTAGGCGCATCTTGATTAGATGTTATATATCTACCATCAAGCGAATCCCATCCTCGCGTGTCCTCAAAGATACGCTTAAAAATTGAATCTTGTCTCCTTGACATCATCTAATAATTACCAAGAAATATATTATACGGCTTAGATTAATGAAGGACGACATAGCGTTCTGTAAATATTTTTTCATGCTGCTTAACGTCTCTTATTAATTTATCTGTACCTTAAATCCATATTTCTGTCCATGTGGCAAGGTCTTTTGGTCCTTCTTCCCCTTGGTAGGTAGCTTTTCGTGTAGCTCAAATAACAGAGCAGCTCCGGGGTCAGGTAGGCGGGGCGGGGGCGCAACGCATGCGGATAGCAACGCGGCTACGGACACGGGCGTACCGATCCGAACGATCACTGCTGGATTAGTAGTTTCTACTGTCTTTGCTTCCGCTTCTTTTATGATTTGTTCTAGTAAGGCTCCTAGAAAGCTCAGTGTTTTACGCAAATATTCTTAGATATTCTTCTCAACGATAAAAAAATAACTGATACAGAAGAATTAAATATTATGTAGACTATACCAAGTACACACTTAGTAAAAGAGCACTTATATTTTAAAATTCTACTAAAGTCGTGCATATGCTTTGTATATATTTTTTTCATATTAGTTAATTTATAAGTGCCACTTAAGTTTTATACCTCCGCTAAGCTTCCTTAGAAGATTATTCTGAAACATCATCATATATTCCAGTCTCGCTACATCTGTCAATTTTCTCTTCACGTGCTTGGCCCATTTTGGATTCGGTACTTTTATGTCCTCCTTAAATAAAATTAATATTCAAAATAATTTATTTATTCATATGTATAAAGGAAACTTTGGTACACTTATGATCGTCAATACATTAAAAAACCACCAGATGTTAAATCTAAGGCGTAGAACGAACGAAAAGAACTGGCAAAAAAACTCGCTAACTTTATACAACAATACAAGTGTATACTCATTTAATATATGTAAGGTAACATATTAATTTTAACTCAATAAATACCTGGATTAAAAATAAGTTACTCAAATGATAAGCATCTTCAGGCGTACTAAAATTGGTACCGGTAAGATGTGCTACTTTGTAAAACAAATCTTTATACGGCGTCAGCAAGCCCTCTTCGACGAATGCTTTTAAAATCCGTTGTTTTTCTTGCTCATACCTGGGGCAGTTCTCTTCATAGAGTAGCTGAAATTAAAATCATCTGTAAATGTGCAATGTAGGTACAATATGTAATTTCTTGTTCAGATAACTAATGGCAATCTCAGAATGTTTAGACCTAAATTTTTTTTTTTTTATGTTTCTGATAATTTTGTCGTTCTTGTACCTTAATGCAACTCATATATTTCGGTAACTTAAATTAAAAGTTACTAATTATTTAATATATATTTGAATATGAGATTTTGGATAATATTATGTTCTTATAATCAGTAGTTGGGTTTAAGTAATTGCTGGAATAATTTTTGGTCCACTTACAAAATCTTTATTCCGCGGTGGATATGTGTAGGAAACTGGTTGCCACATTATAGTATCATTCCATATTTGATCCGATGGCGGAGGCCAAAGACCGGCTGATATTAACAGTGCTGTCATCTTACTAAGATTCGTATCAGAAGCGATCACCATGGACTCATCTGAAGGATACAAGTTTTGATCATTCTTTATTATCTACTAGCTATGCCAGCGACTTCGTCCGCGAGAATCGTTTTTTTGGGCATCCAAATTAGTTTTTGCATCTTTATAAACCGAAGCTGTTAGCCATGACGTCGATCGCGTCCCTTCCCGTCGTTCTTGCAAGTTAATCTTAAAAGATAGACATATAGCGTTGCGGACTTTTTTTTTAGATCATTTATAGGGAAATCATTCTTTCGTACACAATTTTTAGGTATCTTGAACTATTTTCGCAGCGTACACATCTGAAACCTACAGAGATGAAAAATTTCCCCCGTTTTGTCCACACTCCTCGCTGTATCTTCGCTCATATATGACACATCGCAATGTGTTATGGCCTATAACCTTCCTCGATAAATGCTCAAACTAACGCAATTTTTTTAATTCGAACCCGTACTTCCTGAGATTAGCGCGTTCAAACAAACAAACTCTTCAGCTTTATATATTAGTTTAGATGATAGATTCTTAAGTACATAACGTTATTTAAAAAGTAAATAAATGAATTGTCGTAACCCTTAACTTATGTGTTTGTTTTACGGGATATATATTAGTTATTACTTATTTGGTCACGGAGAGAGAAACGTCTCCGGTGACCACGGCTCCTGCAAAGCATACGAAACATCGGGCCGTAGTTTAAATAATTTCTTTATTTAAATGTACATATATGTACACAAGGGTGAAAGTTATTACACAAATAATTATATAACTAGAATTGTATTGGTTTTTAAACCCGTTTCAACTGTTAGACATATTTAATGTTGTAACTAAGGTTTTAGTAGGTTTTTGGTTTTAGGTATTAAGTATTTCCTTTACTGGAACGAATATATATATATATAGAAATTGCTTACCAGCTGCATAATATGGACCTAAGAATTCATTATATCTGTTACGTAGAAGCGCTCCCATTTCGTACGTCAGCATTTTTCCTTCCTGTAATTTAGACGCGATGATTATTTCATATATTGTATATATATTTATAACAAACAGACGATTTATTTATAAGAACGTTTCTGATAGGTGTTTTTTATGACAGACAAGCATGAGGTGCACTTAATGGTAGGTAAAACACGCTGTCGACCTATTTTGGCATTGGATGTTCGGAAACCCACAGACTGAAACCGAAACGCGAAAACTACTATGTACTGTAATTATACTGCGATGCTTGATGCATTTCAGCAATTCCTCAAAACCTTTTCGCTTTTCCGTTAGCGGGATATGTTACAAGTGATAAATCATTATTAGAGGTCGGGCTGTTATCTACGTCTCTTGACACGTCGTTCCTCTTTAAACAGTGACCTTCGGAGATCGAGATCGCTCTCGGCGAAAACTATTTTAATATTAGTTCAACAAGAATACCGGGTTTTAAATGATAGCAGCATCTTCTAGAAGCAATACTCCATCTGCCAACGCGGATTGACGATCCGCGAATTAAAGGACTTTAACGGTTTAAAACGCGATTTATATTAGTTAGACTTGTTTGACAATTATTTTAACTACGGCCCGACGTTTCGGATGCTTTGCAGCGGCCGTGGTCACGGGGAGACTGCATCCACTACGATGCATATTGTAGTGGATGCAGTACGCTTTAAACCGTTAAAGAGTTTTATTTAAATGTGTACTACTCGCGTAAATTACAGTCAATGTTCCTTATTGGTATGTTACACATAAATTGTGGATGATAAGTATAAACTTACGTTAGTCAATGCCCCTGCCCCATATGGTACGAAGACATGATCTGGTGGAGGTGCTCCCAACATCGATAGTTCGCGCTCGTCCGGAGTCCGCTCGCCATGAGACATCAACTAAACACAAACGCCAATTGAATCCAATAATGCATTCAATAGGAATCAATTAAATGTGTCAATTTACCAGATTGGCGCGGGCTTTACAAAGTTGCGAATGCCTTTCACTTAAGAGATCTTTGGGTTTTAATAATCGTAATACACTACAACTAGCGAACTACAACTAGATTATTAACATTGCTGTCTATAGTTTACGCGAGTAGTACACATTTAAATAAAACACTTTAACGGTTTTAAACGGGATATATTAGTTAAACTTATTTGCAAAATGACTTTTAACTTCGGCCCGACGTTTCGGATGCTTTGCAGCAGCCGTGGTCACGGGGAGACCGAGACGAGAGGTCCGAAACGTTGGGCTGAAGTTAAAATTTTCAAATAAGTTTAACTTATATATCGCGTTTTAAACCGTTAAAGTGTTTTATTTAAACATACATTGCTACCATTCGATCAAAGAGCCTGTCAATTTTTTTAAGATTAGAATGTAGGATGATAAAGAGAAGTGTTGGCAGATATTTAAAAAAGTACGAACGAACTTGTTTTGAACCTTTTGCGCCACATCATTATGATAGTGTATACTTAATAACAAACGCTCACCACATGAACTTGTCGTAAAGCTGTTACTTCGACGGTGTTGTCCTTCATCAGGATAACAGCTACGAGGGCTAAACATATACAAAAGAAATGAGTAACATATAATAAGCGTCTATCCACCATTCGGTATAAATGATCCATCGTTTCTCGTGATACGTATTTAATAATAGTGTAATTTACAAGGCAACATTGTCTTAAACTTCAGCCCGTAAATGGAGACATTATTCAATTATCCTCTCTGATGGGAGGATGCAGCAAGGGTGCTAGAGACAAGTGCAATATCTATTCTTAGTCCCCTTGTCTTACCGGCTAAGAGTGAGACGCCCACCAACACGCCGAGACAGCAGCAGATGTGTTCTGTACGCGTGCTCGATGTCATCTCCATCGCGTTGGTCGGCTCCTCCTCGCGACCGCCCTCTTTCCTATTCAAACAATAAAAGCCTTACTTACCTAACTAGGATATAATAAACTAGAGCAACTAGCTAGAAGAAATCAAGCCCTTAGCAGGGGGGTTCGTTGTTTTTATGATAGTGGAAAAGATACGCCGGCAACCTATTTTGGCTTTGGATATTCAGAAATCCACAGACTCAAATCAAAACGCCATTAAACTTAACGCCTTTTCATCTGTGGATGGTGGTGAAGACTCGGATAGAATTTCGATGCCACCAATTTAATATCCAAATTTCCTAGTCCAACATCCTTTAAAAGGTTATAAATTTCCTGGTGGAGATCGAGACTCCGACGCGTTGATTATTGGCCATACATTGCTAGAATTACACCAACGCGCCCGTTAGAACAAATTTTCTCCGAGAGCCTTCAATGTGTATTTCATGCCTTCAGTGTGAAATATAAATATCAAGTCTTTCTAGAAAAGAAAGAAACCAAAGAAATTAGCACTGTTAAAAATACTACAAGGCAAATATCTCGCTTACAGTCTTTGCTATATCTTTTATACCAGTACTTTGTATATATATACGCATTTGCAATTCTATGAAATGTCAGGATGTTATTCTGATGGTGTTGAAACATTGTAAGACTAACGATACATATTCTATATATAATTATTGTTCTTAAGTCTTTTGTAGAACAGAATCGTCATTAGAAATCGTTCAGAAATATTTCCTCAATGCCAATGGTTCTTACCTATATAATAGTTCGTAAGCTATGTCAATTACGATCATAGATTTTAGTAAGGAGTAAAAACGTAACTATTTAAATACTCCATTATAACATGCATTATGTTTTACTAATTTAGTAGTACCTGGGAAGAGTGTGTGTATAGAGAACAAATAACGCTGCTAATTGGTCCAATAACAAAAAACGCGATTCTCAATAAGGAGAAAAATAAATAAAGCGCACTTAACTTAGGCGAAAATTGCAGTTAAGCTACTCAGCCTCTAGCCGCCTCAATGAACAAATCATTACATACACAAACGTCACTTACATTTTCCTCTTCCGAACTGACAACTCTACATCGTGCCCGAATGAAATATTGAATCGCGCAATGATCACTGAATACTGCACATATCAAAGGATTACTCTTGTACCATAGCACGGGCAAACGTTCGAGCGATGCAAGGGCGGAAGTGCACGTATCGCGGAGATCAGTCTTACTGATTCCATGCGGGACGCTGGATTCACGGCCGTTGTCCGCTCATATGATTGACTTTGTCCAATCGATTGTGGACCGTATCTATTTACACGAGATCACCGTCACGGCTGTAATTTGTACTACACCGGTGACGCCCTTGCCAACGTCCATTTGAATGGGATGTTCAGATATTATCATTGCGCCGCCTCATGCTATTTTATGTAGCGTTACGATTCGTATTGTCGCAGTTTCACATGGCTAATGCAATTTTTCAATGCCCTTCCATTACAATGGCCCATCCGCTTGTCCCACTGGCTGATGAGACATTTTGATACTGTTATCCATTGATTTGGTAAAAGGTTTTATTTGGCTTCCAATATTATTAGGCATTTCAATAATATCACAACATAGATTAGTGATAAACACGTGAACTAAAACGTAAAAAGTTAATAGGCAGTCTGCAGCCAGAACTAGTTTTTGCACCAAGTTTTTTGCTACTTAATGGTCTAAGCGCGTAAAAAGCTACTAAAACTAGAATTAGATAAATAGATAAACATTTGTGTTCTTATAGAAGTACTCACTTGATACACAAAATGCTCCTCAGGTTAACCATGTTTGTGTCTTTTATTTTACCAGACGTATACAAGCACGTTCACAATTCATGATCACTGTCTCTTATTTGTACAAGACTGCTTCATTGTCGTTAAATATTCATATCTAATCAGTGCCAATACGCTGTCTAGCTTTGCTGAAATCCTTAAGACAATTCGTAAGGTACTAACCTCTTTTAAATGTAGTTTATAACGTGGATACAAATATAATTCTCTTAATCTCGTCAAACTAAGTAAAATATAATGAGTAAACAAACTATTAATTTGTGTAATTAGCAAGTTGATAGACCACGTTTCACATGTCATCAAAATTTCCCCTATATAACCTTACCACGCAGAAGCACAAAAAAAGTTAACAAAATTTCATTATTTACTTCAATATAAAAGTTACTCAAAGGTAATATAAAAATGCGGTCTGTTTGAGCTACAAATAAGCAATTTTGAATTATTTAGACATGGTTAAATTCAATAAAAACACAGTATATATCACAGATATTGTATTTAATAAACTTTAACACTTATGTAAGAGGCTCCTTACATTGTTTCTTAAAGTCGCTAAGAGATATGACGTAGTCTTGTGTAAGATTGATGAACGTGTCGTAGTCGCAAAAGGACAATCCTCCACAACCAGCTATGGGCAGCACCACGCCCGGTTCTCCAGAACTTACATCTGCTGCGTACACTGCCTATAAGCAAATAAAAATTTGTTAAATTCACTAAATCTCTTAGTTATTTTCTTGTTCCATGTATCAGTCGACTTATTTAGTTTTTATAGCAAAAAAAAAACGCTTTCTATCTAACCGAATACGATTCGTATTAAAATAAATATGTTAATTATTTAAATAATAATAATACAATGCTCTTTTATATTCTCTGATATTGCGCGTTTTATTGCAACTTTCTACAGAGCAATTCAAATTATATCAGATGGTGTATCCTTAATTCTTAATATTTCGCGTTTTAAACCATTAAAATTTAAGCTACAGAAAATATAGGATTATTCTTGCGATTTTAGATAGAAATTGATCTCGAAAACCGTTACTGTTGCTAATCTCCGTTTCAAAAAACCGATAAATCGGTTATCAATACGGTCAATCTCACCGTGACACCGTATTGTCCGGTGAGGCGATGTTTTCTGAACTCCAGCGATATGGTGGCGCCATACATCGGTTGGTGTGGTTTGAACACCCTAATAGCAGACATGAACGCTGCAACGTTATTCTCGTGGGCGGAGAACAACCAGAGTTTTGGTAAATCTTTGTGTCCTGATATGACGGAACTTGTTGCGTTCACTATTTTCTCTAGTAACACGCCTGGAAGTACAAAATATAAGTCTTCCAAAATGTTCCGGAAACAGGCCTATCCAAACACTTGTCACAAAGGTGTTTATGTCTTCACTAAATCTTGACCTAGTTTGTAAAATTCTCGCAAAAATCATATTTAGTCTTTCTTTTACTATTAAAAAAGTATATCATAATATTTTTTACAAAACTTTTGATATTTTCTAATAAAAGTAGTTGTTAGTAAGCTTTCTTTACACGCTTCTTAGAGTCAGAAACGTTTGTTTTACGTTTATTTAACTACCAACTTTAACTCCGAAATGTTAAAACTGATTGTATAGATTTTGAATACCTGCTGATAGTCGAATCATTTCGCTACTATAAAACTCGATCACGTATTCGATTTTTGTTATTTCCTTAATCTGAGGCATGATCTCTTTAGCCCATTCAGGTGGTGGAACACCTACGTTTTCCTGGAAATGTTATATATTAGATATTGTCCACCAAAGTTAATACACAAATTAACACTTCATTCAGTCTACGTAAATTTGGGTTACGTTTTAAAAACTTATAAAAACAGGTTCTATATTGAATATAAATTGTAGAAATTATAGGTTTTTACAAAGGCCTGTATCAAGTTATCCAAGTAGAAACCGTCCTCGGGCGTCGTAATATTGACGTCAGTTTTCGTGTTTAGAAACTGGTAGAGCCCCTCGTAAGGTTTCATCCATTTCTTGACTTCTGGCATATTGTATACTCTCTCGCGCATTTCCAAATAACGTGGGCAATTGTAATAATACAGCAACTGTAAATAATCTTTTTATTATTGTTTATAATTCATTAGACCTTGTTCTAAAATTGAATCTCTTTCATCCAGTTTGATTGCATCAGTTACACTTTGTATCTGATCTATCTCTATGTACTATGTGTCTAGACTGATCTTAGGTCAATTAGTGCTATAATTGAAATTGGATCAGATGTTACCTTTAATTAGGTAATAAGTTCACGACTTACTAGTAGTTACCTACATTTTAAGTTCCGACTTTGGTTGGTCAGAATATGTAATGAGAAGAGGCAAGAATTTTGGAAAAATATTTCTTTGTTTCGAATTAAATTAGTTATACCCACTGTTTAATATCTATTTACAAATAGAACAACATTTATTCACTTAAAATACTTACCAAATTATGTAACGTTAACAAGATAAAATATGTCGGTATAATTATTATGTAATTTTATACGTACATCGTCATTTTCATACGACGGAGTATCGTAGGGCACGGGCTGCCAGTTTAGGTTCGGATTCCACTTCTGAGCAGGCATCGGCGGGTATATAGCAGCTAACGCGGTGAGGACGGTCATTTTGGTCCTCGCATATCCTGTTGTCTGGACGTATAACTCATCGGGTAGATAGAGATTAGATATAAGATTGTTATACCGTTTCCTTATATATTCACCCACGCGGTAACCACGCTGTTTTCCTTTCTGAAAGAATTCTAGTTATACCAAAACATAGAGTCCTACTAGTTAGAATATGTGAAGTACTATAGAGCTACTTAAATTCTGGTCAGATTTTTGATTATAGATTATACAATAATATTGTATAAAAGAAGTAACTGTGCCCGCTACTTAGTCCATGTGGAATTTTTGGCATCATATTATTTATTTTTGCAATCTAAACTTTATAAATAATAACTGTTACCCACGATATCGTCCTCGTACCGACTTTCTTGCGAGTTAATCTTAAAAGGTAATTTAAAGAAGAATCATTATCTTATACATATTTTATGGGTCTCTTGTAAAATATTTTTGTTTACATTTCCCTTTAGTTTCTTTCTATTTTTCGAAGTCTGATATTTTATAGCCTTAAGCCTTCCTCAATAAATAGTCCAACCAACCAAATTATATATTTTTCGATATAAACCAGAAGTTCCTGAGATAAGCGCGTTCAAACAAACAAACTCTTCAGCTTTATAATAATAGCATAGATCACATACTACTTGGAACACACATAGAAGTGTATGTAAACTAAGTCACTATACGCAGAACAATGGTTTTAATTTATTTTTCGTATATCAAATCTAAACTTACATTTGTTAGCGCTTTTACTCCAAACGGGAAAAACGTACTGTGCGTATATTGGTCTGAAGGGAACTTTGCCATCTCATCCAAATCCGGGGTTCTGTCGCCATGTCGAAATACCTGTTTTATTCATTAATATTATCCTCCACTTATTTACAATCAGTTACACTTTATAGTTTACTATTGTCCAAGTCCGAAATCGCAAATAAAAGGTCCTTAATGGCCAAGTGTGAGAGTTTGTGTGTGTGTATCGATGTACACAGTTTGAGTTTTCCGGAAAAATCTATTTTGCTTAAAAAATATTTTATGATAACGGCGAGACTTGAATCGGTATCCGATTGGTTAAAGAAACAATTGATCTAGAGCAGCAACATGTCGTATTTGTTTCTAATCTAAATAGATTTTTATTTATACAATGCCATCATGTGAAAAATTATTAAAGTTTTCAAAGAAATTTTCTCGTATAACTCCCAACCACTTAAATAAATCTATACAATTCTGTAGTCTATAACTACTACGACCACCACAGGCTCAATGGTTAAAAGCATTGCATTGCAAAAAGATTGATCGGTAATAGGTTTATTGGTTAATTTTTATACACGTGTGTGCGAAATTACCTGTCCCTTATGGATGGATGACGTATGGCATAGGTACTTTACTTTTCCCGATACGCATATGTAATACGTTTCTAATTGTACCCAGTATAAATAAAAATGCAGATTGATAGCACATGATACAAACGATTTGAGCGGACATACCACAAAAGCCATCAAGATATCAGTGTTAGCCAGCCCATTGTCTACATCCTCGACCATGTTATCTGGCTCCAGGCCTACTCCAATGGGGTGTTCTGGAACTAGCTCGTCACACGACACAGCTACCAGTAGCAAACCGAACACGATATACGGCGCCATTTTATAAGATATAATATACTTCAATTTAACGACATAATAGGTAGCACTCGCTACAGCGAGTCGAATTCGACTGCCATACTCAGTCGGTGTTTAGTTTATACCTTGGTACTTTGAAGAGACGAGAATCGTGATCGTTGTGTGATTAGACCGCTGTAATCGCCCCTCAGAACTCGTATACGTGGATACGATGCTTGGACTAAAAATAACTAGGGTAAAAAGAGTTGGGTTTGCGCTCGACGGGTACCGCACAATTATTTATAAAAAAAAAAATTAATTGTGTTTTATCGTCAATGCATGGAAAACGTAAACTTTATTTTTATATTTATTTATCATCAGAAATACATCTGTAAACTCTTGTCTTCTCAGTGTGAGTAATATTTTTTATTTGGGGGTCACTTTCTAGGTAGTAAAACTACTTTACTTTACTTTTTTATCTGTAATTTTGTATCTATGTTGTTGCTCTAAAACATAACAAGATGATGACGTCGCGAATTTAGACGGGCTTGTTTGTGTAATGGTAACTTTTATGACTATAACCAACGGGTCGTGGGTTCTATTCCCACCGGATAATACATTTTTTTCTAATTAATGCTTATTTTCTGAAACATTCGGAAATCTGGTTCAACAGTGGAGTGGTAGGAATACCGAAATCCCGTTGGGTCACGAACCTCAGATGAAAAATCCATAATTTATTTGTTTTGTTTAATTAATTTATTATTTATTTTGATTAATCGCGTTTCGGTTTCAGTCTGTGGATTTTTGAAAATAAATTGCCAAAATAGGTCGACTGCTCGCTCATCTTGTTTAGATGTCATATGGCTGGAGACCCACCATCAAAATTTATCAATTCTATTAAGTTATTCATTTTTTGTACGCGTTTTCGTGTTAATCTATTTTAATATAAAAGTTGTATTCTGAAGTATATTTAAAATCAGTTAATAAAGGTATTTGAATTTAAAAAACATGTTTATCGGAACTTTAAAAAAAATATTAAAGATGACAGAGATTTTTTTACAAAATTTATACTTTCAACATTTGCAAATTACATTTCTATTTGATTTCACAATTTTATTCGAGATCTTCTGCTGTCCCTTTAAGGTCATATTGTGATAGTACAGTAACTGGTACCAGTAACTGTGAAAGTATGTTAAAGTTGACAGCGATCACATATAATTACATGTTAAAATATTCACATAAAGATGAGTACTGGTATGAATAAAACATTTTTACCGATTTGAAATGCGGTTTATTTTTCTAAAAATCTAAAACGTGGGGTCGTAGTTAAAACTAAGTGAAACTATATATTTTGCGTTTTATCCGTTAATCGTATTTAAATTTACTTATTTATTAAATACGCAACTAAACTACAGATACCAGTACATGTACACTATTACCTAAAATATAGTCTGTTTATCATAACAAATTAGAAATCTCTTATATGTATTTATAATTACCTTTACAAAACTTTAAAAATATATCTTATATCTATATCAGAATTTTAATATTACTTACAATTCGTAGACGGATTAGCATATTGGCCATAATATTATATTTAAAACATATATATCTCTCTCCTAATATTAATATTTACATGACAATACTATCGCAAACAGTTCATTAAGTTTACATTTCTGTAAATTCTGCCACTGAACACCACTTCTTATATTCGCTGTGTGGTAGCACATAGTCCTTTGTTAGTTTTATAAAAGTGTTGTAATCACACATATTTCCACCACCGCAGCCATTAACTGGTAATACGACTCCTGGACCACCAGCTTCCGGCGAATATACCACCTGGAATTAAATTTTAAGTTAAAATTTTTCATCATCACAGTCTCGTCTTTGTCACAAAACTAAATTCAAAAATTTCAAAGAATCAAGTGTTATAACATACCATGAAAGCATAATCCCCGCTCATGCGATTTCTCCAAAGCTCTAGTGATACAGTAGAACCGTATCTAGGCTGATGAGGCATAAACGTCCTGGTAGCAGCTAATAGAGCAGCGACATTATTTTCATGAGCAGAGTAAAGGAACAGTTTAGGCACCGATCTTGCTCCCTTGATGACTCCTGATGTGGCGTTAAATATATCCTCTAATAAGCCCCCTGTACATTAACAATGAAAGGTGCTTTAGTAACTTTTAAACTATTTACTTTCACGAATTATCCTTCTTTTATTATCTATATTTAAATAATCCTACTAAGTACAGCTGTACGAGTATTTAGTAGCTATACGTCAACGTATATATTACCTGCTGACAGTTTTATCAGTTCATCTGTATAAAACATCAACATGTATTCAAATTTGGTTGTCTCTTTTATCTTCGGCATCATTTGCTGGGCCCACTCAGGTGTCTGTATGTCGACGTTGTTCTAAAAATAGTTTGACTTGAATTAAAGGTGGTTTAAATTTAACGTGATGTAATAATTCAAAGTTTGACTGTAATATATAAACTACATTTAAGCATATGGTCTTATATGTCCTTAGTGTATGTGCAAATCGTTAAAGATCTTTATAATTATTAATCTATATAATCTAAATATTTATTTATTTTTTACTCACTAGGGTTTGAAATAAGTTGTCCAAATAAAACACGTCCTCAGGAGTTGATATATCACTTTTAGTATATTGACTTAATAGTCTGAAGAATTCTTGACTCTCATTCAAGTATCGTTTCACATCTGGCATAGTATATACTTCATCCTTCGCCTCCTCCCATCGTGGACAGTTAACAAAATGTAACATCTTAAAAATAATAAAGAAATTGAGGTTTATTATACATGTTCTTTGGATTTTATCATCATTTCTACTTCAATATGTATTATTTCGTATGATATAGGAGGACTGACAAGTGTGGAATTCACTTACTGAAATCTCCCATCCATATTTCAGTTTAACTAATATGAGATGGAAGTGCCGACATATAAAATGAATGGTTCGAGTACAAATAAAAATTTACATAAAGAGTTAAACGTAATTCTTAACTTACACTATCATCATATTTATGCGGTGTATCGTAAGGTATGGGTTGCCAACTAAATTCAGGATGCCATCTTTGTAATGGTATCGGTGGATACATAGCTGATAAGGCGGTGAGCATAGTCATTTTCGTTCGGGCAAAGTCGGTTGTCCTTACGCTTATCTCATCGGGCAGGTATAGCTTGGATATCAGGTCATCATAACGCTCCCTTAGGTATTGTCCTACGCGGAATGCGCGCTGTTTTCCCTTCTGTAAATCATTCAGAATAGTTTTTATAAAAACATGAAGGCTCAAACCCCTACACTCAAATCAAAAGTTGAGTATACTATGAGATAAGTGCTGAAAGTTTATACGGTATTTTAAAGTCTAATTTAATACTTATGAAGGTTATCAAGAGACACAAATAGTATAATCAAATCATTATAAAGGAACTAATTCACACTGTTTCAAGACGAAATGTAAAATACTGTTCTCAAATGTGCACAAAGAAAATGGTTCTAAAAGTCATCAGAATTGTTTACGCTAAATCAATTATGAACAGCCAGCGATACAAATCGGCTTTTCATTTAAATGTATCACTCACGTTTGTCAGAGCCTTCTTGCCATACGGAAAGAAAACACTGGAATCCAAGTCTGATGATGGGTATTTGTCCAATTCCTCCTGATCTGGTGTCCTATCGCCGTGTCTGAACACCTTTAATAATACGTCTATTAAATACTGTCTATAGTTTACGTCTATTTTTAAAACAAGCCAAACATATTATATACATAGGTTGATTTAATTAGATAGTTAAAGATGAATGATTAGAAAATACAGATAAAATTCGAGTGTTCGACTATTTTCTCTATTACTATATATTTAACATTCGCTTATCAAAACCTACTTTACAATTTTATTTTATATTATTTTGTTCTTTTAAATTAAAGAGTCAACCTGAAGGACATACCACAAACGCCATAACCATATCATAGGTGTCTTTGTCATCATCGTCCCTTGCTATTCCCGCTACTTCTGACTGAGCTGTTCTCTCATAATCCTGTCCAGCACACACACATAGATAACTTACAACAAATACAACAGCGTACTTCATTTTAATGTATTATAAAGACAATTGACATTTAAGTCCGCGCGTTCGCGGCTTTATTTCGACTGCACCTATGGTTATCATTTCTCGTTTATATATCGGCTAAAAGCCTTATACTTAGCATTTTTGATCAAGTTTTAGTAAGGATACACTGCCGACTAGATCATTTTAAATTTGTATTTTTTTTTATAAAACTTGTTTTCAAGTATACTTCGGCCGGCACAATATATACACAAAGGTATAGCTTACGGAATCAAAGGCTGAGTCGTGACCGCCTCCGTGACACATTTACGTACATTTTTTTTAAGAACATTGTTTCGGTCTGGCAGGGCACAGAATACGTACACTATAATCGTATGTCCCTCTCAGGGGAAATGGGTTTGCGCTTATCATTTACATAGCTTATTTATTGTAGTGAGTTGTACTTAAAGATAGTGATTACGTTTGTATCGAATTAATATTATATCAACAAATTAGCGTTAGGTACTGTATTTTTTTTTACGAGTCATAGTAGATTTCTTATAGAGTAGTATGAAGTAAACATTAATCGAAAGTAACGCAGGTTGAAAGCTATAATATTTAAATAATCTTTGTATGTATACGAGTTTAATATTTACTTAAATCAATATAAAATACATATCTAAAAATCCAAAGAATAAATATAATATTCTATACCGTATTAAGAGTTTTTTAGTAACACATTGTTACAAAAAAAAACTGAAAGCAATTCATCAACCTAATTTATTTCATGTGAGTAAATCGTGACATAAATTTGTTATGCGGGTGTTAGATTTTTATATAAAGAGACCTAATATATGATTATCGACACTGGTTTATATGAGATTTTAAGGATAACATGTATATAACAAGAAGATATACTGTTAAAAGCTATTCTATTTCGTTAAACAAGACGTTATATTTAGGCAACGTATTCCCCATAATAACGGTAACACATTTATCGTATAAAACGTCTAGGAATTTAACAAATAATGGTACCCCATTTATATATTCATTTGAAGATATTTATCTATATATTACACAAGGTTACGATACTTAATTGACATATATTGATGCCAGTTCAATATAAATAAAAGTACATAATATATCACAACCTATTTATTACAATATAATAATGTACATCATACCTAGATCCTCCAACGTTCCACCAACGTTTCCCCTGCGATCGCTCCAGAGCCACTCCTCCTCGCTTTACAGCGCACCCCCTTTTATACAATACAAGACACAAACAACCGACCAGGTGTTAGCCTGACGTCATCGAATAACACGAACATTACTTTTCAACATTTTGTAAACTACCCGCAGTTATACATCACAACAACAATGATTTATACTACGCTTAATTATATATATATATATACAAAATAATTCAAATAATCTGTCACGGCCATACTGACATGTGATTTGTTCTCAAAGCACTTATTCTTACAAACAGAATTGTTGGTAATAATTATAACCAAGTTTATTTATATAAATATTCTAAATAATTCAAATAATCCGTTACGGCCATACTGACATATAATTTGTTCTCAGAACACTTGTACTTACAAATAGGATTGTTGGTGATAATTTGAATCGAACATCACAAACATAATGTTTTTTAATACTTGAAATATGTAATCTATTAGAATCGAATATTTATTACTTAATCTTTCTTTTTTTTTTTTTTTTTTTATACCTCTCGATTGCATAGACGTGTCGAAACCCTCATCCGCTGCTTATGAGTCTAGTTTGCTTGCACCAAACAATCGAGCGACCAGCGGAGGTATTCCTATACCGATTACCTAGAGGCACTAGCCCCCTCACCCGCTGCCAGTGGTCTGGACTAGTACCAAGTAATCGGTCGACCAGCGGCTTCTATTCTTTATACTGTCTACCTAGACGCACTAGCCCCCCTCACCCGCTGCCAGTGGTCTGGACTAGTACCAAGCAAACAGTCGACCAGCGGCTTCTATTCTTTATACTGTCTACCTAGACGCACTAGCCCCCTCACCCGCTGCCAGTGGTCTGGACTAGTACCAAGCAAACAGTCGACCAGCGGCTTTTTTTTTTTTTTTTTTCGTATCGAAATATCACCTTTCTTAAAAATTTACAATAATAATAATCATTAGTAATAATAAATATTTATAATACATTAGTAAATAATTTACAATAATAATAATCAATTAGGATCATCCTCATCTATCATTTCTCCGGGCCAATATCGCAATTTTTCTTTTGCAACTGTGATATTGCGTAAATTACCACTTCCCCTCAGAGCAAAACGATCGTTTGGAAGCAAGGAAATGATTTCGTAAGGTCCTTTGAACTTAGGATACAATTTGTCATTTCGTCTATGATCTTGTGATACGTATACCAATTCACCGATTTGTAATGTCAAGTTATTTCGTCTTGTGGAATCGAAACGTTTTTTGAATTTTTCGGCAATTTGTAAAAGTCTTTGCCGGGCCATCTCTCTATCTGAGTCAATATTAATTGGAACTTGATAAGAATTGTCAACTACATCATTTAAGCGTGACTGTATAATTGGTATATTTGCCTCAACACCAATTAACAATCGCAAGGGTGAAAATCCCGTTGATTTTTGAATAGTTGTATTAATGGATTGCTGAACTTTCCATAACACGTTCGGCCAATCTGACAGTTCATCGGCATTAGACATAGTATTGAGCATATCACAAACAGTAAAAACATAACGTTCAGCCTGACCATTACTCCTAGGGGTACCAGTGGCAATCATGTGATGTTGAATATGTAATTCTTCAAAAAGGTTTTTAATTTGGTTATTACTAAAATTTGTACCGCGATCGGTAATGACCTGCAAAGGTGATCCGAACATAGTAATACTATCACGGATAATTGGTATTAACTCATTTGCACTAAGTGTTCTTAATGGTTTAAGTAAACAGAATTTGGTAAACCCATCAACTAAAAGCAAAATATGTCTGTAACCTTCATTAGATTGTGTAAAGGGTCCCATACAGTCCAAATGTATGGTCTGGAATGGAATGGCGGCCTTTTCTATAGGGTGAAGTAACCCTTGTTTAGGGCCATGATGGCCTTTTCGTTTTATGCAAATTAAACAATGTGACAAATATTTTCGTATAAACGCTGCCATGCCAGGAAACCAAAAATGTTCGCGAATTTTATGAAAAGTTTTGTCAAATCCTACATGGCAATTTTCGTCATGGAACAAACGCAAAATATCAATTCGAGTACTTTTAGGTATGTATAGTTTTGGTTCTCCGTTAAGTTTAGATTTATAATACAATAGGTTGTTATTGACTAAATATTGGTTTGTATCAAGTTCCCCGCTTTCAACTCTATCAATTAAAATTTGTGTTATGGGATCAAGTTGCTGAGCTGTCTCTAACCAAGAATTACCGTCATTGATTAAATTAATAGTTCCAGCTAGAGGAGTTTCGACAGGATTACGGCTGAGGAAATCCACATGGCTGATATAAGTGCCCTTTTTATAGATTATATCGAAATCAAAGTCTTGCATATATGTCCACAGACGGGCTACTCGTGGGGATAAATCCTTTTTATTCATTGTCGACTTAATGGAATTGCAATCGGTTATAATTTTGAATTTAATACCCAGAAGGTAAACGCGAAATTGTTTTAAGGAATTAAAAATGGCTAGCGTCTCTAAATCGTAAGAACTATATTTTGATTCAGTTGTTGAAGTTTTCTTACTGTAATAAGCAACAACTTTTGTTTGGTTGTTAAGCTTCTGGATTAATACTGCCCCGTAACCTATTGCACTAGCGTCCGTGTGTAACTCGGTTTCTAAACTAGGATCAAAAACTGATAATAATGGTTTTGACACTAAGTAGTCAAGAACGTATTTTCTAGCCTCATTTTGTTCCTGTCCCCATTCCCATGCCTGGTTTTTTTTTGTCAATTTGCTTATGGAAGCGGTTCGTAAAGAAAAATTAGGAATAAATTTTCTAAAATAAGATGCAAGACCCATAAATTGGCGCACTTGTTTAACAGTTTGAGGTTTTGGTGAATTAAGTAACGCGGTAACTTTTGTTTCACTAGGTCTTATTCCCTCGCACGATATCTGACGACCTAAATACTCAATACTTTCCACAAAAAATTTACATTTTTTCAAATTAACTTTAAACCCGGAATCACTAAGAGCTGAAATAGTTTTATCTAAATATTCCAGACCCTGGTCAATAGTAGAAAACGGAATGAGTATGTCATCAATATAAACAAGCAAAAAATTTAAATGTTTTACGGCTTTTGTAATGGCACGTTGAAACACTGATGGTCCATTGCAAATTCCAAAAGGCATTTTGAGAAACTCATAATGACCATCTGGTGTAGAAAAGGCTGTATATTTAATGGAGTCTTCAGTCACTGGAATCTGGTAGAACCCATTTTTCATATCGATGGAAATGAAATATTTGGCTTTTCCTAATTTATCAAGTTGGTCCTCAATAAGAGGAAGAGGATAAGTATCTTTTTCAATGATTTTATTTAAAGATCTATAGTCAACACAAAGCCTGTCGCTTCCGTCTTTCTTTTTGACCAAAATGACAGGGCTAGCAAACGGTGAATCGCTTTCACGGATAATATTATTCTCTAACAATTCATTTACTATTCTGTTCACCTTTTCTCTCTCAGAAGGCGCCAAACGATAAGGTCTATAATGAACAGATCCGTTATTTTTAAGTTTTATTGTCAATTCACCTGTACTAACAGAACCAGAATTATGTAAACATGTTTCATGATTTTTGAAAATATTTATAATTCGAGTTTGCAAATCTACGTCCAAATGGTCTATCATGGATAATAATTCACCTAATTTAGAAGTAAAGGTATTGTGTGTTTCAACACTATTCACACATAATTTCGTGCTGTCAATAACCTTCCGCCTAATTTTACTCCCTTTAGTATCTGTTATTATTTCTATGTCCTGATATTCTACAGCATTTTGTCCTATCAAAAGATCGTAGTTAAATTTTTTATCTTTGACTACGAGTATATCAAGTTCAATATATAGGTCTTCAAATCTAACAGGGACAGTTATTTTGCCACATATATCTAAACTGCCACACCCAATACCATTTAGATTTAAAAAATATGGTTCAATATTACATTGTAAGCGTTTTGCTATGGATTCTTTAATAATAGAACAGTTTGCTCCAGTATCTATAAGTGCCTCTATAGTAATATTTTTAATGGATACTTTAGTTAATTTTAATTTCGCTGGCCTAAAAAATTAGCCTCCGTATTGGCTGATGGTTTCTCTAAATCTGAACGAGCTTTATGCCAACACTTTGACTCAGAGTGGCCAGATTTTTTGCAAAAACCACAAATGTTCGGGTTACTAATCCTACTGTTTGCGGTATCACCCGTCTTTAATTCGTTATTATTACTACACTGTGCACGTCGATGGTCTAATTTACCACACGAGAAACATGCTTTATTTTTTGAATTAGGTTCGAAAATACGAGTATTAAATTTTGTTCGTTTGGGACCTAAACTATTTGGGTAGCTTTGCTCTAAGGGTCGTTTCTTAGGCTTGACATAACTAGAAAACAGCGATATCAGTTCCGAAGTCGAGTTAACATTGCTATTAAACGATGCCATCTTAACATTTACGTCAATAATACTACCGCAAACTAAATCTATCAATTGTTTTTCAGTAAAGGCAATCTTTGTGTTGCGATATAATCGAACTTTCTCCCGAGCATATTCACAGTAGGAATCTGCTAAATCAGATGTGTATGACACAGAGTGGAAAGTTTTTCAGCTAAGTTTCGTTTTTCAGGGTATAAATAGTAAGATCATACGGAATTTCTCCCAAGTTCTGCCTTCAGTCGAGGGTTGCCATGATTCAAACCAAACTAAAGCAGACCCTTTAAGGGCTTTACCGGCTTTTGCAACGGTCGCTAAGCTGCTCCAGCCAAACTCCTTTGCTAGCTCTTCTATATTTTTGCACCACCCGTCCGCACACAGTACTGTGGTTGGGTCGAACACTGGAAGCGCTATATCTTCGTCAGGACGCCTATTCGATGATACGGCACCGCGTATGGCTTTCAAAAGGTCCGTCAGGAGAGCAGAATCCATGCTGAAACTTAGAGCAGAAGATATTAGTAATTATATTCGAATTCCAATTATTATCCTAAGTGAGGATTTTTGTTTTTATTATCTTCGGCCAAAACGATTAATGTAACAAAGTGAAGCACAATATCAAATGCTAGTGTTTTACCACCTACGTCGCTGATTACTGTATAGAAGATTACAATCCTGATTCATCTGTATCCTCAAAATCTCTTATATATTTCACAAATTAAATGTCACATGACTTTTAAAGTACACGTTATAAATTTTATTTCAAAATAATAATATATATATATAACTAGACGAGCAAACATGGTATGGGGTATTTTATTTACTGTATTGTTCGAATCCCACTTCTGATGTTAGATTTTTATATAAAGAGACCTAATATATGATTATCGACTGGTTTATATGAGATTTTAAGGATAACATGTTATAAAGAAGATATACTGTTAAAAGCTATTCTATTTCGTTAAACAAGACGTTATATTTAGGCAACGTATTCCCCATAATAACGGTAACACATTTATCGTATAAAACGTCTAGGAATTTAACAAATAATGGTACCCCATTTATATATTCATTTGAAGATATTTATCTATATATTACACAAGGTTACGATACTTAATTGACATATATTGAGCCAGTTCAATATAAATAAAAGTACATAATATTCACAACCTATTTATTACAAATATAAGACATATACCTAGATCCTCCAAGTCCACCAAGTTTCCCTGGTGTCCAGAGCCACTCCTCCGTTTACAGCGCACCCCTTTTTATACAAACAAGACACAAACAACCGACCAGGTGTTAGCCTGACGTCATCGAATAACGAACATTACTTTTCAACATTTTGTAAACTACCCGAGTTAACATCACAACAACAATGATTTATACTACGCTTAATTATATATATATATATACAAAATAATTCAAATAATCTGTCACGGGCATCAATTTTGTGTTTGTTTTGTGTAATTACTACAATAGCGATGTATAGAAAATGTTACCTCAAAAATTCGATCAAAACTATTATTGCTGTTATATTTTACATTAGTCTGAAATGAACCTAATTCATACGAGAACTTTCGTATGCTATATATGTATATATTGTATTAAAAGAAGTTAGCGGAAATTAACCTGTAACATTTTCCAGGTATGACCGACATCCATTACAATGAACAAGCCCTTCTTGAACAGCTAATGATCTGCACAGAATACGTCGATAGAGCTGAGAGATATGAACTTCTGGGTCCTCTGTACCGACTGATTATCCCCATATATGAGACGAGGAAGGACTACCAAGCCTTGCTAACCTGCTACCAGCATCTAACCAAAGCGTACGCGAAGGTCATAGAAGTAAATAATTCAGGGAAACGCCTATTGGGACGGTTCTATCGAGTGGCGTTTTTCGGGAAGGCACACTTTGGTGAGGATGAAGAGGGTATCGAGTTCATTTATAAGGAACCGAAGCTGACGTCCCTGAGCGAGATCTCGGAGAAGCTGCAGCAGTTTTACGAGCAGAAACTGGGTGCGGGCAGTGTTAGGATGATAATGGATTCTGCGCCGGTAAGTAATTCTGCCTAACTAACATTGGAAGAGCCAGTACACTTCGGTGGTTGGAACGCATGTAAAATTTTCAAATTACGTTTACTAATCGCTGATGTTCATAAAGGCAAGATTTGTTATACAATCAGCTTAACTGTTAAATGTGTTGCTTCTACCGGTATGTACGGATCCCGATAAAACAATAAAGTAGTAGATTATTATTCAGTAGCTGACGTGGCAAACGTTCTTTTGCCGAAGTATTTTGACCAAAAGTTGATTACCATCACGGTTCTACTGAATTAATCTTACAAAATACAAATATACTGTCGCGGTCATTTTTTTACATTTTTGCCCCATTTTTTCCACATTTCCCATTGTGTCTTCAGTCCTATTAGGCCCAGCCGTAGTTTTTAAAGCCTTCGACGATAAATGGTCCAACCAATACATATTAGTATAGATTTAAAACAATCAATTTAAGGTATTATATTTTTTACTAAGTGATAGACTTTATTAATTAAAAATCCACCAAAGCACTGATTCTGAGTATTACGGTAAATCTAAATTATTTAAATAAAAAAAAACCAAAATGTCATACATTTTTAAAACATTCACTTCGTGTACTTCTTTTCTTCCATATTTTATTTTATCAAATTGATAATTGGAAACAAAACAACACAACATACAATCTCTATTTAAATAGGTTATAACTTATGCTTTATAAAAAAAAATGTTTTAATTTTATCATCTAGGCGTGCTATGTTTTGTAGATTGTAAGTTACATGCCGGCGTTTTCCTGCTCGCAAACGAATTACTTTATGAGTTATTTCTTCCAGCGACCTTTTGAAGAGGTAAAAAATAACTTGGTGTATTTAAAGTAGTAAAAAATTGGAGCCATTGCAGACAAGGCAAAAAGTTTATTTTTTTTAACAAAGCTCGATGCATAGTAGTCATTGATAGTGTTTGAACCAATTTGTATTTATTTAATTCATTCATAACTATACTTATAATCAGAGTATATAAAAGTTTCACGCAAAAAAAAACAAAGTATGAACTAAATTAACTGATATAGATTATTAAAATAGATTAAAAATCTATTGAGATTGGAAAAAAAACGACACGGACGGTAATTGAGCCACCGTGTCCGTGTTAATTACTAGTCGTTGATTAAAACCTCCGCAAATAACATGTGAAATATAATAAAGTTTTAAAAAGATATACTTATATGTTTATATAGTTAAATTAATTTATATTCTACTATTACATACAATACAACTAACCAAAAATCTTATCAATCGACTTGACGATTCTACCTACTACTACAATCTACCTCGTTGGTGCAGTCATAAGTGGTAGGTAGTAAACTTGTCTGCAGTATGCAAAATCTAGTACAACCTCGGATTTAAAGGAATTTTAGTTTGGCATTTGTATTTTTTAAATGTAGTTTACGCGAGTAGTAAACATTTAAATAAAACACAATAACTGTTTAAAACGCGAGAAATATTAGTTTAACTCATTTAAAAATTATTTTAACTACGGCCCGACGTTTCGGATGCGCGCGGTGGTCACGGGTCGCGTTTTAAACCATTAAGCCGCGTTTTAAAAACAACTAATTCGAATTGAAATATTATTTTTGTGTTGGGTAGACCATTTATCGAGAAAGGCTTTAGGCAATGTTATAATCACTTTGCGATAGGAGCGAGGAACCAGGGGAAAAGACGAAAAAACGGCATAAACGTGTTATATTAATAAAATTTGCTCAAAACTAATAATACATAATAATATACATTCTATTACAAATTATTTGTTAGCGTTGTATTAACATAATTATATTAATATTGCAAACAAATTTACGTGGGCCGGATCAGCTAGTGATTTTATAGAATGTCTATGCCAATACAAAAACTTGTTTCTTTTTCCTTATATAGTACTTATTGTCTATCTATTAGGTGAATCGAGAAGAACTAGATAGTAAGCTTGCGTACATCCAAGTGACTTGGGTCCGGGCAGCACCTGAAGGAATGCTCGCTTGCTCCTCTGGTGGAGAAGGGTCGTTTGACAGGGCGCACAATGTGAGGAGGTTTGTTTTCGAGACGCCCTTCACGAGAGATGGCGCTGCTAGAGGGCCTGTGCATCATCAGAGATTGCGTCTCACACATCTAACAGGTAATTAATTGCTAACTAAATAATTATTTAAAAGGTTTTTAACTAATATATATCGTGTTTTAAACCGTAAAATGTTTTGATTGAAATGCGTCAACTTCAGCTAGTATTAGTAAAAGATCTTACTTAATTCTACTATTAAGAACTACTATATACTAATTTAGTATCCCTGTAGAAGAATTTATATTATGATTGCGGTATATCATAGGTACTTCAATTAATACATATATTCCTATGTATAGTGAAATTTTGGTAATAAATTTGGAAATTAGGTAAGGTGAAGTGTGTTCCAGGTGTGCTCTGTACTAGCGTACACACAGCGTTCTGAGCTCGCATAAGTACTGTTGTGGGTTGGACTCTCGCATGTATAAAGACGATTAAATAAACAATTAATTCGTCGCTACAAACATTACTTCTATCCAAAAATAGCCCAAATTTTTCGAGAGCTGTTTGATTGGTGAACAGGGAAGACCCGTTGTAATTTCACGTGTTTGTATTACGTACATAAGAGCAAACAACAATATTTAATGCTAAAGTACGTTAATGTTGAAGTGTCTAAGATGAATTACAAATTTTACGTCATAGGTTTTTTAGAAAGTGTTTTTTTGCAAAATATGTGACGTCGAAATATTTGTGACATATATTACATCTTAATTCTAAATATAATCGTGATATAAGTCTGACGGGGTCGTTGGCCTAATGGTAGCAATGAGTGGCCAATACTCAACAGGACGCGGGTTCGATCTCCACCGAAACTAACGTGTTTTTTTCACGTACGTAATTTTTCTGAAATATGTTGGATTCCGTCTGGATTTCTGGATATTTAATTGGTGGTAGTAATATCCGAATTCCGTCCGAGTCATGAACTACCGTCCACAAATAAAAAAGATATGTAATCCAATCGCGTTTTGTAAGCAGTTTGTGGATTTCCGAATGTCCAAAGTCAAAATAGGTCGACAGCGATCTTGTTTATATGTTATACAAAATTATAAAAACGACAATACGGTGGCACACGATAATTTCCAAAATAACTACAAAGCTATTTCGTGCTTAGGGCAACTGTATATGGATAGGATAGTTTGATACATTTAAGAAACCTAAAGAATCTAGTCCTATTTCATTATTGCATGTAATTAACGGTTGAAAACACGAATTATATAAGTTTATTGAATCCGGTTTATTTAATCCATCCTAATGATACATGTCACATAGTAGACATCCATAAAAATGAATACTCAACCATAAATCAACAGCGGAGAACTGGTTCCCGTACGTGAAGCGCCGTATTCCGGTAACGGAATGTCAAATAGAGGAGAGGAGCCCGATAGAGGTCGCCGTTGCCGAAATGGAGGGCCAAGTCGCCGAACTCAACGAGATCGTGCACGCTAAAACGCCTGACATCAAAAAATTGCAGTTACGGTGAGTAGCGTTAAATTAGTTAACATAAATATGGATCTGTTGTCTCGTTGGTCTAGAAGGGATGTTGACTTTTTGAAATAGCGTTTTGATTTATAGATAGGTACCCCCTATATTAATAATTAAATTTAAACCTCTTAAGAGCCATCAAGTTATGTTTTTAAAATGCTGCTGAACTCTTTGCAACTTTTCCAAGAAAACTCTTGGTTCACCCGGTCTACGCGTATTTCGTCAATAAGTAAAACCTCGGAGACCCTGTGCCTCGCAGACCAAGAGAACTGGTTTAATTACTACATGACTTATATTTTTCAGGTTGCAAGGAAGCGTATGCGTGCAAGTAAATGCTGGACCCATCGCGTACGCAAATGCCTTCCTAGACCCTACTCTAGCACCTATGTATCCCGATGACTTAGTGGATAAATTGAAAACCACCTTCAAGTGAGTATTACGACAAATTCTTCTGTAATATATATTATATAGGGAGCGGAGTTTTAATAACACGTCACGGTTCCACCAAACGTTTAACCTTTCCACGTCGTTAGTAATACTATTGCATTACTAACGAAGTAAAAAATAAGTTTATTTGTCTTCTTTTATAATAGAAGGGATAAGTAAGTATAAGGTTCTCTTGGTGGAAGGTAAATTCCCAAGCTAGTTAACAACTATTTTGCCTTTAAATAAAACACGTTAAAGTGTTTTATTTAAATGTGTACTACTCGCGTAAACTATAGACAGTATTTAACTATTTTGCCTTTAATTGCACAGATTGAAACCAAAACGCTCTTAAGCTTCACAGCGTTAATATCTGTGGACGGTGGTTTGTCAGCCGGACCAAATATCGATATTCTAAGTATAACGTGTTAGATCGAACCCCCACCTGTTGCTTATTAGCCACACATTGCAACTTCTTTAAGTGTAAATAATTAAAAGACCCTCTTCAAGAAGAACATATAGATGATAAATTTCTTTCAGAGAGTTTCTCACAGTCTGCCACGCGGCGCTTACACTGAACGCAAAATTAATCAGTTCCGATCAACACTCGTACCAAGAGGCCCTCGAAGCGAACTATTTCAAGCTAAGTGATTCACTCTCATCCGTTTTGGGTCAACCGCTACACGACATATTAGTCAATGGGAACCTAAGCACCACTGTCACTGGGGTAGAATTGGACTGCAGTAATGCTTAGGGCCCGTTATTAAAGGGGGGACTGATTTACGAAATGACTGAATAATATAAATGAAGCACTTTTAACAGTTTATAACGCGAGATGTATTAGTTAAACTTATATACAATTTATTTGAAGTAGAACGACATTCACTCGACGTCCCTAATGTCAAAGTAAAAACTGCTACTCTAGCGCCATCTGTTGCGTCGTCGATGGTATAATTATATTATATACTTACGTTAAAATTAGAGTCACACTCGATGCTGCAAAGCATCAAGCAAGTTTAACTTATATATTTCGCGTTTTAATCTGTTAAAATTGTATTATTTAAATTTTTACAACTCTCAGAAACAACAGACTTCTAAGGAGCAGTTCTTTTTTTGACTGATTGTATTACTGGCCTGGCTTTAAAAAGGTATATGTTTTACTGTAGAATTAATATTTTCTTGTAAGTTGGGGTTTTTTAAAACATACCAAAGATTGAAGCGTTGTAGAGTAAAACTAATGTAATTTGAAATACGTAAACGCGTATTGCAAATCCATACAAGACTGCGTTGTTGTCTGATCGCACAAATAGTATCCAATATAACATAAAATGTTATATATAAAATGCTTAGCCATTTTTCATTACCACACAATGTGGATAGAGACTAGTAAAAGTTAGTATTATAATATAATGCTAACACCATTTTTAGAAAATCATTCACTTGACTGCTCGACGAATAGTATTAAATCTGGTACAAATAATAATGTCCGACATTTTGTAATATTTTAATAATTAGTAATAAAACCTAACATGACAATTTTTTTATAAATTTTTATACAGCGTATTATTTCTAACTTGATATTTTCTCAAGTAAACCACAACAAATATGGCGTATTTAATCCATAGAGTTATAATCTTTTATAGAATGTAGTTGATGACACTGAGATAAAGAATCATCGATTATATATACATCTAACGATATTGTTGCAGCGGTCGTGCAAAAGTGGAACTTCTTCCTACTAATGTCGTTGACTGTGCTTACATCCCATCTCTATGTAAATGTCAAACAAAAGCATTTTTATATGGTCATTTACGTAACTTCATTTTTGCAGTAGTTTCGTTTATTTAATATATAATCCATAATCTCAAAGTGTTTTTAATGTAAAAGCAAAGCAAACCTTGTGAGAAAATCACGATATCATGTAAATTGTGTGATTGTTTATGAAAAATATCAAGTTAGAAAAAATACATAACAAACGATCTTTTATACCTCGAATCTCAGTGTTAAAAAACACGTTTTTATTGTATACAAAAGCTAAGTCCTTACTAATGAGATTTTAAAGCCTTTTTACTTAACAGAGTCAATTAATCCGAAATTTAATTACACGTCCAAATCACTGCCTAAAACAAGCTTAGGTAAATTTATGAACGTAAACTCATTTTCAATACAAACATGTGGATAAGTGCGCACATAGCGGTAATTCTAAATTAAATTTACTATTATAACTATTAACGCAAATATTATTAGGCAAAAATAGTGTATATTACTTATTTCATCTCTTTCGGAATCTTTTAAAGCAAATTAACCACTGCTATGTATAATCTATTTATTAAGAAATAATGTTACTATTTGTTGACATTAACATTGATTTTATTTAAGTAATTTGCTGTTTTCACATAATTTATTTAATTGTTTTTAATGTTAATTTATGATGCATTAAAAGCATAATTCCATTCCAGTTATAGCAATGTTTCATGTAGCATGCTTTCATAATAGTTTCATTTTTGTAAGTTATAGATCCTTTTCTATTATTTAATATATTAATACCGAATATAATGTGAGTTGTTATGTTAAAATTATAATGTATATTTCAAATTCTATATGCTAGGGGCCATTCACTTATTATGTAAGGCCTAAAGGAGGTCTTTTTTTGCCTTAGGGGGTGTGGTCTAGGACAATTTAGTTGGATCTAAAGGCAAATAACTAAGGCAAAATAATGTTTGGATACATTATTTTGTTATTATCATGTAAGCGTGAAAGCTTGCTCTTGCTAACAAGAGGGGTAGAGGGGTTCGTAACAAATTCCCTTACATAATACTTGAAAAGCCCTATATTATAATTTTTGCGTCTTCAATATTTATTTAGTACTTAACTAATACTCTACGGAACTATTATGTTCTATGCCATAAAATATTTATTATATGACATATTAATCATTATTATCCTATGATAATATTCGTAGTTACTTAGTATGCACAAAGCATTCGTCACTATTTCGATACTTATTGTAATCAACTCTGCTGTTTTAATACATTTATAATAATTGTCAGGTGTTGTTTTATTTTATAAATATAATTCAAAGTATTTGAAGGAACCAGACTCTTGATTTCTTCAAAATTTGTTGAAACCTTATAATATTATTGTTTAAGGTTTTACCGTGTGTAGGTAGGTGTTTTTTATATGACTCTGTTTGTATGTAATACTAGCTGTGCCAGCGACTTCGTCCGCTAAGAATATTTATTTGGGATATCACTTTTGGAAACCCCTTCATCCTCATAAACTTAAGCTGTTTCCCACGACGTCGGTCGCGTCCCTTCCCGCCGTTCTTGCAAGTTAATCTTAAAAGATAGACATAATATATAGCGTCGCGGACGTTTTTTAGATCATTTAAAGAGGAATCATTCTCTCATACATATTTAACTCGGAAACCCACAATGATAATTACTTTTCGCCAAAAAATCACATTTCCTTTCCTTTCCTTGTATTAGTCACAGGGTTTTTAATCGATTTTTTATAGGCGACAAATGCTCTACCCAACACAAAAATAAATTTTCAATTCGAACCCGTAGTTCCTGAGATTAGCGCGTTCAAACAAACAAACAACCTCTTCAGCTTTATATATTAGTATAGATGTATGTGTGTGTAATAATAAAACTTTACCCAGTTGTTTCTAATTAGAACTTATTTGAGATTGGTGCATAATCAGTTTATATTTATAGGCTTTCAATGACATTGATAAAAACAAATGATAAAAATCACGTCACTTTTAACTGGTTTTTATTTGATCACATCTTCAAAACACATGTTAAGGTTAAACGTACATATAAAACTGTCTATGGATCTAAAAATATTTCTTATCACTTATATGAGAATGTCAAAGATTAAAGAGGAATAAAAGCAATACAAATATCACTGTTTCAAATAGACAAAACCGTTTACAATGTTAGTATTTACATTATTGACAAACCATACTGTAAGATATATGTAACAAGTAAAAATTTGATTAGTGCCTAACGTACAAACATCAAACTAATGTGATTTTTCAATAAAACTTACAATTTGAGAAACTGTAAACTGTTTCTTATCTCGCTCAGAATTAAAACTAAGTAAATGTTACAATTAAATATTTGCAGGAGTTATCAGTTGCCATGTTTAACAAACATTTAAAAGTCACACACACAAAATTCAATATGGCTTAGGAAATTACGTTCGAAAATGTACAATGTTGGACCCATAGAAGACTAAAATATTTCATGTTTCAAGTACTAATAGGCCATACATATCGCTCCTACAAACTTTGTTGCTATGTAGAAGAGGTATAAAAATATTCTTAATATAGACTTTTAGTACTTCTTATCACAACAAATAGGTATATTTTAGTATTGCACTGGTTAACACATTAAGATATTGACTAGCACCAAAACAACAATATTAGACCAATAATGCACCAAATGATATAACAATTCACGTAATAATATTGAGAATGCATAATGAATTGAAGAGCACTTATTAAACTGGACGATAGCCAGCTAAAACAATATTTCAGTATAAAATATAGTATCATACATTTTTAGAGGCCAAACATGATTAGGTTGGCAAAAAATGGTGACATCTATTTTGTTGGCAAGTAGTTGGTCAGTTTTCTGTTTCTGTCCAACCAAAAGTTTGTTTCTCTGGTATTTAAACCCAATACCTCTTTCGCTTATCAGATGAATCAGCACTGAAGTTTCATTGTAAATGAGATTTATAATGACCATAGACTTCCTGATGTATCACAATAAAAATACAATCACTAACATTCCTTGTTGTTAACAAAACCAATAAAATAGCAAAATAGGAACCGTATCTTAAAAAACGTGAATGTAACAATTTTATAGTGCCATTATACATATGGAAAAGAGAATGTTTATCCATATATGCACTGCTATGTACGAATATATAATTACAATAGAAACATCAAATCTACAATGATAAAATTTTTCCACAATCACAACCACTCATATTTACTTATAAATCTTCTAAATCTAAACTGGACATTAATTATGTATTTACAACATGAATTTCTTAAGATATATGAAAAATTTTGAATAAATCTGTCCAAAAAGGGAATTTTATTCACTGAAAACCTGCTCTGCAGTTTACTACTTTCATAATATTCTATCATTGGATGTAAACAAATATCTATTTTATGGTGTAATTGCAACTATTCTGAAAAATTTGTAGTTGAAAACGGCTTATGCATAAAATTAATTACTAATACTGTAATATTATCAACCGAACCTCTGTAATAGGCTTGCAGCGTTAAGCTTTTGGCTCCAAAATCTGGTTCATCTAATCTCTCTTTGATAAATTTAACTGCCTCCTCATTAGAAAATGTGTCCCATAGGCCATCTGAGGCCAGTACTAGGAACATAGGTTTGTGATCGTCTAAATTGAATGTTAATATATCAGGATTGGCAATAACAAAGTTCTTATCTTTTAAAGGGTAGTCACCCATTGCTCTGGATGTAGCTAAAATACCAGCTACCCTCCAAACTCCATTGAACGCTATATACCCACCAGCTGCCTCTATTCTTTTTTGTTCTCGAACCTGAAAGTTGGAAGGATTCATGAAGCCTGTATATTCATTCATTCACATTAACTTGTGACTAATAATAAGATACCAAGGTAAAAAAGCAATTACTAAAGCTATGCAACTGTGCTAATAGTTACTAAATAACAATTACCTGTTGAGGTTTATGGTCAAATGAGACGGGTATTGCATTTCCACGGACATCACACATTACTCCCCTTGAGTCACCTACATTTGCCACTATTAGATGATTGTCTTCCAAGACAGCAATTAATGCTGTTGTCCCAGCAACATTCATAGACCGTTTCGCAGCTTCAACAAGCAATTGATCGGCAGCAAGAACCTCATCAGTTAATAACTTCCCATAGTTAATCTTTCCCTTAATTATGTAACTAGATAATGGCACTGTAACATTCTTCACAGGCTTTACTGGCCTTACTTCTCGCGTTATTGGCCTAGCTTTATTCAGTTGAGCCAACAGTTGAGGATCGGTAATTTCCTTCTTAGAAGTGTCATCGGCTGTGCTAACAGATTTTTTGAAACTTGTTTTCCTTTCAACACTAACATTTTCTTTTTCATCCTTCTTCGGTTCTTCTGGACTGTCATTTTTTTGTATATCGGAGAGTTTCCCGTTTTTAAATGCACTTAATTCCACAATTTTATTGTACAAATTCTGTATGAGATGGTCTTTCGCGTAGTTCGCAGCGAATTCACCGCCATGTCCATCAAATATCGCAAATAATGATATGCCTGTGTTATTAATGTTTTCATTAATAATGAACTTGTCCTCCATATGCATTCTCCTACCCTGAATTGCGTAAGCAGCGCTCAATGAACCTTTTAATTCCCAACTTTGCTTGTCGGCATCAGAACCATCCATCAATTTCATTCGCTGAACTGCGCTTATTGGATTTACAGCATGCGACAGCCTGCTTAGTAATGTTCGACTCCATAACCCTATCGTCTGCAAATACATGAAGAATACCACAATAGCTAAGGTAAAAATTAGCACTTCGGAGCGCAGTAAATAAAGTCGCACCATCTTCCATAAATAGCTCGTCGGGGTGTCAAACGCAACACTACTACTAAAGCGTGACAAAATTTTCATAAACGATAAGTACGTTTGGTGTACTACGCGATCTTCTAGTTCGTCTTCCATTTCCAACGCCAGCAAAAAATATAAAATAAGCAATAAAACACACTTTATTACGAAAATTACGATACAGTCCTAAAATTATAAATATTCGGTACGTCAGACTGATAAGTCAAAGTCACAACTCTAAATATTAAAGTTCCACAGAAGAGAAATCTGAATTGGGTTTTATAGATGTAATAGAAAACAGATATCTAACAGCAGGGAAAGTGTCAGCCAGTTAATCCTTACTAATATATACTTATACTAGTACTAGTAATATTATAAATGCGAAAGTAACTCTGTCTGTCTGTCTGTTACTCTTTCACGCCAAAACTACTAAACGGATTTGAATGAGGTACACAGATATATTCGATATTGATATATTCGATGTAGATATTGATATATTCTATAATATTGTCGAACATTTTTTTGTCCTATCATTAATAGTTTTCGCAGCGTATGCGAAAGACATTTTACGGCTAATTTTTTAAGCCTTCCCTTGGTTTTAGTAAGAATTTCTATAGTTGTCTATAGTAATCAAGTACTACATATAGCCTATGTTACTCACTGATAATGTAGCTTTCTAATGAAAAAAGAATGAGTTTATCTGTTACATACAAAAATACAAATCTTTCCTCTTTATAATATTAGTATAGATTACTTATAGATTAAGAAACTTCAATTTTTCTGGCATTTTTTTTTTAATGCTCCATAACATTTTTGTGCCACTTTTACATTATTCTAAGGCACGATTCTTAGGTACTACAAATCGTTGACCTTTTGTAGTGTGCAAAAGTATTAAATAAATAAATTGTTGTAGTCAAATATGATAGAAAATATTCTACTAACTTAAGTCAGTAGTTGTATATAACCATAAGTATTTAAATCAAATTACCTTGCATTTAATGCATATTTTATTAAAAAGGCACTGCAAATTATATACACTTATACTAATCCAGTCTATATAAAATTATAATTACGCTCAACATTACATTGTTGCACTGTTTTGCACAAAATTATAATAGGCACAAAAACTAAAATGGCATGTGCAAAGAAACAATTTGAGCTTACAAAAGGTAACATACAGGATAAGTGTCTACTATTAAGTAGTCCTTAAGAACAATTTGTGAACAAAAAATATAAACAATAATTGCTGATATAAAAATAACATTTGTTTGTGGGATAGTCTATAAAGAGAATATTTCAATTAAAATGTTTGCGTTAATATTTACTTTGGACTATATGCTTAAAATGGTTACTCATAGGATTTCAAACTCTTCATCCGAGTCATCAAATTGTCTATCCACATCTTCAAATTCTGAAAAAGGAAAATTAATAAACAATTTAAATCCAATAAGTATGGTGAAGAAGGAATATTCTTATTATATAAAATATTACCTGTAAACAAAGTATTTTGCAGATCGATGTCCGAGTTGGTGCTAGGTCCCCAATGAGAAGGCCTTTGGTCACAGATCTCAAAAAGCGGCTGAGCCTCTTTCATAAGACTACTTTGAAATGTGTTGCAGAGATCATCAAAATCTTTTCGCGTACGGCAAAGGAAACACTAAAAAACAAAATGTCGGTAATTATCACTTATTTGATATTGGTGGCCCATGTACACTAGTCGCTAGTTTCAATATTGTAATATAGTCCTTACCACAGCAACTGATGGGTCCATTGTGAGAATTGGTATTCGAGAAGCATATTTACAATGATATGAGCAATCCATTTCCTTCTGTTCGTCTGTGATTTTATTCTGAAAATTATTTTTCTCATAAAAATGTGAATATAATACACAAAATAAATACCACGCGCCAAAAAAGTCGCGTGGTTTTTCTTTGTGATGGGACAGAGGACAGAAAGGATGCGATGTCCACCTGTTTTCACTTAGTATATGCGGAATTTAATATTACATATTTAACTTCAATTAGTTATATATCTAAACAAAATTGTCATAATGCTGGCATTATACCAAATGTGAATTTGGATTATCACCTGCCCTATGTCAATTACTTACTTCAACGAGACCAGATCTTTGTGTAGTATGTGGATCTAAATATAAGACTTCATCTCCGACACAGCCAATCAAATACAAAGCTTGATTTGGTTTACCTCCAATTACACCAATAGATTGTGGACTTTGAAAGCATATCTGGAACGAATATACTAATAAAAATTGTTATCAATATCTAAAGAGTTTGATAACAACTTTATTAATTAAAAATTGATTAGGTGTAAATTGACAGGCCGGCATTCACAGTGCTCCGTGCTGTTGCTCTAACCTCGTCATACACCTCTCTAGCAGTAACATATTAAAGTTTTCAAACGACTTTGTTCACTACAGTCAAAGGTTACCCCACAATCTTGTAAATCATTTCATTTCAATCAAATTATAATTACCTTTAATCCATCAATATAAACTGGATTGATTTCACTTAAACCAAGTCTGAGTGGTACAATGAGAAGTAAAGGCATCCAATCAGTAATGTGTACATCATCTGTATTATTATCACCTCTATCACTGTTTACACTACATTGTTGTACTGAAATCATAAAGTAAATAATATATCTTTTACAATTAAATAATGAAGCATCTTTTATTATAACCATGGAGTATAGACGAACACTTGATGGAATGCGCTTTTGAACTATTTTGGGCTGCCGAAGCTTAAAATTACGAATTGAAACTGGAATGAAAATGCTATTTCTTGTTTCCAGAGTAATCAGTTATGTTCTAAAATGTTTACAGAAACGTAAAATCTATTAAGAATTGGACTCACAACCTGCTGATCATTTAGTCATACATTGCATTGCATAATTTCAATATATGTATGTCTATATGATTACTGAAAAATGTCCCTTTATTCACAATTTGTTTTTTTAGTTTTGTTCATTTGTATTTTCTGAATAATAAAATAGCTGGAGCAGTTAATACTTCCGTACAATATGTTATTTCAAAATATGTTTTGGTCTCAAATAATATATATCTATGATTACTTACAAATATCCTCTTTAACTACTGTATTGTCTAAAGCAACATGTATCACAAGAGAGCTCCATTTGTCATATACAGCTAATTTCCTATAAATAGAATACATGTTTAATATTCGTTTTGTATTAATAGTAATATATGTGTTAACCTTACATAAAAAGTAATGTTCTTCAAGTTCTTCTTGTAGTTTTACCATAATTACTTACTTCAATACTTGCGCAACAGTATTAGGTCCAAACCATTGTCCAACTTCCTTTCCTTCACTAGCTCCCATTAGAGCTACTTGGTGAATAGAATATGGGGCTTGTTTTCTTTCCTCAAATCTCTGAATGATTTTCAAATATGTTGGATCTCTGAAGACGTTTTTATAATATTTAGATGGTATGGTAATAGGTAAGAGAGAGTTTTGTAAGCAATCCCGGAATTATTATGTTAGGATATATGTGTTATATACATATATGAAGGAAAAACATAATACAGCCCATTGACTGTAAATAGTAAATGACAACTTTAGTAAATAGATAACAGAAGTTATGTATAGAACACATTAGTATCCCAATGTGTGGATGTGTATGTAACATTCCCATCCCAAATAAAAATATATGACAAAGTTTACCTAGTTTCAGCTGTCCATACCCAATCTGTGGCTAAATGAATTCTTGTTAACGCAACACCAAGTACCATTTGCCCACAACGTAACATACATCCCCAACCTTTGTCCGACGTAAGACCTTCATCGCCAATCGGGACAAAACCTTTTCTATAAGTACACCATATAATCGAAGTAATATCTCGCCTAATGCGATCCAAGTCTGAAAACGAATATCCGGTTTATACAAATGGAAGAATTTGTATAGCACGTTTACTAAGCAATTTTAAGATCTTACCTTGTACAGGGCTATATTTCTTCCCTAAAATCCAGACACTTTCCTTTGTCTTTGGAATATCATCTGGTTCAACATTATTACCATCGGGTGTCAGATAACAAATATCAAACACGGCATCCATGTTTGCACATATCTTTTCACTTTATGCGAAGAGGAGACTTTTATTTTGCCTTATTATAAATATTTTATGCATTTAAATCGACTAGTTTAAAAGAAACAAGTCACGACGTTGAAAAACTTATTGTTTTCTTTTTCAGTTTTGTAAACATGTCAAACTTATTTTTTTTTAAATATTAAGTGTCTATGTCAAAATGATAGTAGCCATTGTCATAATTTGTCATGCTATTTGTCAATTGACTATATTTTGTATTTGGTGTATGTATGTTGGTATCAACTTGTGTTTTGGTGTGTGATAATATAAAATTATATTTTGATAATTAAATATATTTCTAAAGGTGGCAAATACTAGCAAAAACTCTATATATCCAGCGAAAAAAAATGTCTTTAAAGTAAGTGTATATAACTTTATTGTTATGTATAGAAATTATTAACGAATAATTAACACAACTTTTATATTAAATAGCGCTTCTGCAGCTGAAATGGAATCCAGTCCTTTGGATTTTGTAGCGCAGGCATGTATGGTTTTAACAAAAAGCGTAGAAAAAGCTTCTGATGAGGCCGAAAAAGTTGCTTTAATAATCGCACACATAAAGAAAGTTTGGCCAGTCGTTCCGCCAGTGGACGATTTTAAGAAAAGTAAGTGTGAAAGTTGGAATTAATTAAAATATAATAAGATTAAGTATCTTGCACTCGAATAATTAACGTAACATGAATGCGTAACGTATACATCTGAATTATTATGTTAAGCTAATGAAAATAAGTCCAAAACTAACTAAATAAAAATTAAGTCTTTTCAGTAAGCCCCGAAATAAAACAATTTTCTTACTCAAATGAATGATATTGGTGGGCATTGACTGCTAGCTTACTAAGATCATGCAACCTAATATAATCTTTATTTTTAGATCTAGAATGGGTAAATGTTGCTGAACCAATTTCCCTTATTGACCACTGTTCTGACAAAATTGTGGTCTTAGATTTTTGGACCTACTGTTGCATTAACTGTTATCATGTCCTACCGGATTTGGCATACTTGGAGGATTTATACAAAGTGGAAAATGGATTAGTTGTTGTATGTTTATCATATATTTTCACTCAATTTTTAATTAAACATTAATATATAAAAATTATTGAGTTCTTAACTTCTACTATGTATTTTTACAGATTGGTGTTCACTGTGCAAAATTTAGCAATGAAAAGACGTCAAGTAATATACTAGCCGCTGTCGAGAGATATGGTATTCACCACCCTGTTGTTAATGATGCTGAGAGTGCTATGTGGGAAGCTCTTGGAATTAAATGTTGGCCCACCTTAGTTATTTTAGGTAAAACACCTTTTTACTATGAAAATGTCAATAATATTTATTAGATTACAAAATGTACTATTAATCTTTGAGTGTACTATGACATGTAAGCTTTTCAAATTTCAGTAAAAATTAAGAGTGCTCATACTTAAATGTTTCAATATAGAGTAAAATCCTCCGTGCGAAGCTAGAAAGTAAATCAATCCACTAATGACCATACAAAAATGAAATTAGATTGTGTAATAAATTATTATTTTTTTTTTGTTTTCCAATGAGATTTAAGTAAAAAAAAGAACTTATAAAAATAAGAATTTTTCAATATAAACATTTCGTAAAAACTAGGTCACTTCATTTTATAGTCAAAGACCCAATATCAGTCATATAATCAATTAATCAACAAACTCAAGTATTAAACATATCAATGTTTCAGGCCCCGGTGCAAAACCAGTATTTGTATTAACTGGTGAAGGAAACAGAACTGAACTGGAGTGGTATGTTGAAAGCCTTTTTGAATATTTCAACAGTGTGAATAAAATCAGCACTGCACCGTTACCTATGGCTCCTGCTAAACATATTAAAGCGAAGAATAGCATACTGTATTATCCTAGTAAGGTTAGTTGGTCTGATAATATATCAACAATCATTGATCAATCATTGACAAATCATCACTGCTACCCAGCAGACTCCCTTGCGAATATGAGACATATCTATCTATACTAATATGAAAAGCTGAAGAGTTTGTTTGTTTGTTTGAACTCGCTAATCTATCGCTATCTACAGGATCTATCTTGAAATATTAGTCTGGTTTTGGTTAGAGCATTTATCGAGGAAGTATAAGGCTATAAAACATTGCCCTGTAACTAATACAAGCGAAGATACAGCGAGAAATGTAAAAATTATTCATTATTATTGGTTTAAAGGCTGCAAAAACGGTTCAAGATACCCAAAAAATATGTATGAAAGAATCCCTCTCAAGAGATTTCTCTTAAGGTGATCTAATCAAATGTTCGCGTCTCTATATATCTTTTAAGATTAACTTGCAAGAACGACGGGAAGGGACGCGATTGACGTCCTGGGTAACAGCTTAAGTTTACAAAGAAGAAGGCCTTTGCGAAAACAAATTTCGATGCCCAAAATAACTATTCCACGCAGACGAAGGCGCTGACACAGCTAGTATAATATATAAGCAAAGTAATATTATTATTAAGCTGTACATATTTATAACTTTTATTCTTTTACTTGAATGGGCCTCTGTTTACATTATGAGTCACTGATGACACTCGTTAAATGCAAGATGCCAACTAGAACCTACTGGTTTATCTCTCTTTCTCTTTGAAATAAAATGTCATAATGCGGTATTTTTTTAACCAACAGATTTCTTTAAACCCATTCTACCGAGGGCGTGGCGAAGAACCATTTTTGGCCATATCAGACACTGGTAATCATCGTATAATACTTACTGATTGCTCTGGTATTATCCTACAAATCATTGGTACCTCTGAACCGGGATTTAAAGATGGGAGTAAGTCAAAACAATTTTTAAACATGTGAAATGATAATTTGTAAAAAATCCAGTAGGAACTATAATTTTTCTTTTTTTTTCTGTAGAAATTTGCTATTGTTCTTGTAATTACCTATTTACAAGGCTTAATGGTTGAGCACCTAAAGAATGGTGAAATACTTCAGAAATCTAAAAGTATTGTCAACCTATTATGCATATACAATTTTTTTTAAAGAATAGAACATTTAACGGTCTTTACTATACTTCCTTTCTCTCTTACTGAGTAAATATTGTCAACATTATTGGTTTTTATTTCATTCAATCTTAAGTTTTTCACAATAAAGCTATATTGTATGTTTAATAACTTAACCATTGTTTGTTCCTCAGCATTCTCTGAGGCGAAGTTCAACTCCCCTCAAGGTCTTTGCTGGTTATCCGGTTCTGTTCTGTTAGTGTGTGATACCAATAATCATTCCATAAGAGCCATACACCTGGACGACCATAAAGTTGAGGTGCTTGTGGGGACTGGAGAGCAGGCTGCTTCTGGTGATAAAGGTATACTTGAAAAGATCCTAGTGGTAGAAAGTGGTAGTGAAGTGGACGCAGTTATGTTTTCCCTTGGCATTTACGCTACTAAAACAGTGATTATCTTAAACCATAGACCGATGACTTAATTTGTTCTGTAACAAGACCGATACCCACAACCAAATACGAGGCTAGGACTAGAAATATTTGAAAATCCTAATACCAAATTACCAATAGGGCAGTGACAGTTACTAAAACATACTTATATGAATTGTGTAGGTGGTAAATGCCTCGGTCTCCAGGCATTATCTTCACCGTGGGACATAATGCTCTACACGACACCTGACCTGGACATGTCGGTACGCCCTGCGATGCCACCTCCTCCGCCGTCCGCAGAGAATAAGGAAAATACTGAAAAAGGTATTTAATATGGCGCATTGTTTTAATATTGATATACTGTGATATGTGTTTGTAACGAAGTAACTTATTTCAGATAAGGAGAAAGAGAAAGAGAAAAAAGACGAGAAACGCCGCGTAGTATTGATCGCGTGCGCAGGTTCACATCAAATATGGGCTCTTTTCCTGGACAACACAATCTGGTGGAAATACAAGATATACACTGAAGGTACATTAATTTCTATGCATGCTCTGAAACAGGCATGAATATTTTATCCCCGATTTTTCAGAGTTCCTAGATTACCGTTCAAACGAATCAAGTAATCTCGACTGCTTATATTGATATAGATACACATATAATAACCGTAATATATAAAAATCTCTTACATTTTAAATTATCTAGCAATTTCGCGCGGTGTTTTGAAAACTGCTCCACAATATTACGGTGACAAAATTATTCAGGTACATGCGTCAGAATAGCTGGATCGGGCACGGAAGCGGCTAGGAACGGCGCTTACCCCAACTCCGCGTCATTTGCTCAACCGTCGGGTCTCACGCTTAGAACCGGTGAGTTCCACAGCTACTTTGTTTTAAGCAATGACAACTTTTAGTATTATTGACAATGGGATCGTTGGTAATATCAGTAATGTACACTACACAGTAATGTAGTAACTAGTAATCAACGGGGCGTGGATTCAATCCCCCCCACCAGCTTCAACATTTATCTAATTCATTTATAAAATTTCTGAAACATGTTAGACTTTGTCCGGAAAACTGGATATTAAATGGGTAATAGAAATAACGAAAATGGGTCTCGAACCAACGTCCACAGATGAAAAGGCCGTGATGTTTAAAGCGTTTCGTTTGGGTTTTTGAATATCTATAGCGACAGCGTATTTTGTTTACAGTTAGTGCTGCGGTATTTTACCTACTATCGAGTGAAGCCCATGTTTGTTGCCTCCTCTATCGAAAAACAAACATATCCAATTATAGGTGCCTGCCCGGAGGTCTTCATAGCAGACTCTGAAAGCTCGTCAATTCGTCGCCTCTCTTTAGCGACGGGACATGTTTCCACATTATGCGGAGGCGACAAAAACCCTTTGGTACATAATATTATACTTTATTCTTCTCTTTTATTTTAAGGCCGGATGATATAATTTTTACATGCCTTTTTTACAATGTAATCCTTTCGGAAGCCAACTATTCTCATTTATCACGTTTTAATCTGTTAAGTTTTATTTATTTTATATTCCATTTAACCATATGCAAAGTTACCACCTATGGTTCGATTTTTAGCTCCATGTATTTATTTTATTGTTAATATAAGTGTAAACATTCAATTCCTACCTACATTATTACTTTATAAATGGTTTGGTGGAACGTATAACAAGGGGAAAGATTTAGTTTTGAAAGTAAGTATATATACATGATGATTATTAAAAAAAACTGTCGATAAGAGGAGTGACAGCGAGTCTCTTGCCACTTTTTCCCATTCTACGGCCTTGATTTAACAAATAGTAAATTTAAATTTACTATTTTTTTGTTTTTAACTGTTGTGTCGTTTACAAGAGTACCAAGTTAACTACCGGAATAAATATTTTTTGACTTTTATGTATTCTTTTCCACCAGAATCTCTTCGCTTTCGGTGACGTAGACGATATAGGCGTAGAAGCGAAATTGCAACACCCACTAGGCGTAGCGTACTGCGAAGCGAACAAGACCCTCTACGTAGCGGACACATACAACAATAAAATAAAAAAAGTAGACATCGGCCCGCAAAAGGTCACAACACTAACGCCCTCTATGATCGAAAGTACGGACCCGGCGACGTTCAACGAGCCATCCGGTCTATCAGTCAGCCTGGACCACAAATACCTCTACATAGCTGATACGAACAACCACAGCATCAAAATCCTTAATCTGGCTAAGTACGTCTGCCAAGAGTTCCGGGTACGACACCCGGATACGAAATTCGTGGAGCCGGATAACCTTATTTTGTATCACAATGATTTATTTATCAATAGACGCCATGGAAATCTAGTTATTTACTTCGCAGTCAGTCTAGATAATGATTATAAGAGGAATATTAAGTTTACAGCTGGCGCACCTCAACATTGGTCGCTTTGTATTCGCGATGAGCATAACATAGATGTGACTCTGGAGGACTTTGAATTCATCGGTTGTGCGACTAAGGGTACCACGTTACCTGGTCGAGTGGAGATGACCCTCAAGAGACGGACTGAGAACACACACTATCGCCTATACTTGAGTTTTAATACTGCGTTGTGTGAAGGCAATGTGTGTTTCGCACACTCATTCACCATTCGCTCCACGGTTTTGGTCCGCGACTCTGTGAAAATGCTGGAGTCGTACAAGATCACTTGTAAAGTGAACCCGGCGGGCAATGGTAGTAAGCAGGATATGAAATTGGCTGAAAATAAATCGTAGTGTAAATAACTCTATTACATACTGTCTATAGTTTACGCGAGTAGTACACATTTAAATAAAACACTTTAACGGCTTAAAATGCGATATATTAGTTAGACTTATTTGAAAATGATTTTTAACTTCGGCCCGACGTTTCGGATGCTTTGCAGCAGCCGTGGTCACGGGGAGACTCTGAGTCTAAAAATCATTTTCAAATAAGTCTAACTAATATATCGCGTTTTAAACCGTTAAAGTGTTTTATTTAAATAACTCTATTACGTCAAGCATCAAAGTGACTAATTGATTACTAACATACAAACTAGTGTAACATAGACACTAGGTTACACTAGGTCATTTTATTTTGGTTTATTATTTATTAAATAAAAAATATTTTTCTATTTGGTTTCGAAGCGAATCATTGTATTTTTTAGTTATGGTTTTTAAGAAAAATACACTAAATGTATTATGTTAATATGCAGGTATTTTTGTTATAACAAAAACTCAATGTTATTGCTTAAGTTAAATAAACTTTTTATTACTTTCCTCTATTTAATAAGTCACCTTACCGCCCCGAGGTAACTCCCTACCTTAGAAGAAGTTTAAAGAAGAATCACGCTTAATTTTATTTTATTTTCATTATAATATACTTATGTTCGTTAAACGCTAAGAGTTCTTGGTGTTACGATTGCAAACATATATATTGGGGCCTCCACTCCTTCGTTGACTCGGGGCCTCGGGGTTAAAGTTGTTAATATAAATGTTAATTGAAAACACACGAAGAAGGGATAAGTAGGTCGTCCTTCAGCACTCAATCGGTTGAATAAATCGCAAGATATATATTAGACAAAAAGCTAAGTTATTAAAATTTACTTTTAATATCCATAGTAATTTCTCTATACACTAACATTTTTAATGCTGTTTACATAGTATTTTAAGTACAATAAAACATTTAAATAAAACACTATAACGGTTTAAAACGCGATATATTAGTTAAACTTATTTGAAAATGATTTTTAACTTCGGCCCGACGTTTCGGATGCTTTGCAGCAGCCGTGGTCACGGGGAGACCACGTTTTAATCAGACAATAAAACATGTTTTAATCAATCTATAGTTTGCCTAAATTACTTGGGTAGGGTATATCTGTACTAATATAAAGCTGAATATCTTATTTAATCGTGCTAATCTCTGAAACGATTGGTTTGAATTGAATACTTCTAGTGTTAGAACATTCATCAAGGAAGGCTGTAGGCAATAAATGATCGAGCTGCAACCAATAGAAGTGAAGACACAGTGGGAATGCTCTTTCTACGCGGACGAAGTCGCTGACACAGCTAGTATTGAATAACAGCTAAGTGATGTATTCAAAGTCCTGATCAAAGTGTTATTACGATTACATTCATGATCATCTTGACCTCGCCAAATTTTTGCAACATCTTAACCAAGATTAATTATGCATAAAAACTGTTATTATCAGTACATGTGCCCCAGTATTTCTAACACACCTCAGTGACAGGCAAAATATATTAAAGATGATGCGGAGCGATCACGAGTCGATTAATAAGTCGTGTCTCGTTGAGGTCTCATTAATATCGATAAATGTGGATGATTGCAGGACTTCATTCTTGAAGGTGGACAGCTGTTGATCATTTTCTCATTATTTTTTTTTAACAAGCCAGGCATAAACAACATTTTAGTGTAAACAGTAAAGTAATTTAAAAATCGAAAATAAGTTTATATAGTGCCTTCATGTGCAATAACATGTACAAAAAAATATTAAAGTTTTTAAACAGTAAAGTAGATTAAAATTCCACAGATTATATTACTCTGTTTCAGCATTGGGGAAGACGAGCAAAGAAATCGTATATTAAGGTGGAGGACAACTAAACGTATAATTATTAAACTGCCATTTCAATTGAAACAATTCAATCAAAGTATGTTTATTATCAAAGTCAAAAATCATTTATTCATGTAGGTAACTAGGTAAACGTATGAACGTCATAAAACTAGAGAATCTAACTTTAAATAAAACACTTTTAACGGTAGAAACCCAACTTTTTCAGTTAAGCTTATTTACAAATTATTTCAATCAGGCCTGACGTTTCGAATGCTTTGTATCATCATATATCATTTCGCGTTTTCAACCTTTCAAAGTTTCTTACTTTAAACTACACTAGTGTCTTTTTTAATGAATTGTTTTTAATTCATTTATATACCAAGATACTCTTGACTCCTGCCGGACCTACAAGTTACAGAAATCAGTCCACCATCATGTATAAAGATCGAATAGGCATCCGTATAATTTTAATAATCACATCGACCCTTTCGATTAACTGACCTTTGCTATAATATGTCTTATTTGAGCCGAAGCTTTTTACGCAACTCGCCGTTCCGCGACCCTGAGTGATAGGCGAACTGTTTCATACCTTTTTTGTTTCAGATTTGATAAGGTCGCCTAGTGTAGTACCACACAAAGTATTTCGCAACTGAGTGGTTAATTTGTGAATAAGAGACATAGATACAAAATAAATATCGATTTTAGATTGAAAATAAATCAAGACACGGGCAGGTCTAGAACCGGCATCTTTTACTCGTAAGCTAAGTCAATCCTTGGGATTTGATTAAAACAGACAAGTTTTTTTCGTCATTCATTTTTAACCCTTTTTTTAAAAATTAATTTGGTTAGGAATGAGGACAACTTTTTGTTTTTGTATAAACAAGAACAAATAGTTGTCTTGTACGTGTCCTTCAGTTATTTTAATTATTTTGGCGTGTAAAAGTTTTTTTTACACATCGTGTTTCTCTAAAATAATTAAATAATTAATACTCTTCCTAAAACAAGTGTGTATTAGTGTAGGACACGGTAGATTAATCGATTAGAACAGCAGCACTATTAATGTGTTCACGTCCTGTCCGCATCGTAATTTTTTTTGTCTAAATAGATTTTTAATTTACAATAACTAAATTTAAATAAAACACTTTAACGGTTTAAAACGCAATATATTACACCGTGGTCACGGGACCTCCGGGTCCGTCTCCCCGTGACCACGGCTGCTGCAAATCATCCAAAACGACGGGCCGAAGTTAAAAATCATTTTCAAATAAGTTTAACTAATATATCGTGTTTTAAACCGTTAAAGTGTTTTATTTAAATGTGTACTACTCGCGTAAACTATAGACAGGTTTTATTAACTAAATTTGACAAATATTCCTCTTGAAACTTGACTTGAAACCCAATTTCAAATGAGAAATACTCAAATATAAATTCATCGAGAGTATATGCGTCGTTCTCAATACTATTTCAGTACAAATGATTATTACCTTGCGAAATTCTCATAAACCACAAATATATAATGTGAAACCCAAAAAGATTGTCATTGCTTTTAGCGAAATAAACAGACAGATGTTCAATGCGACCTAACCAGTAATCACAGTAAGGTTAGCGCAATTATTTTCATAGTCCTGTGACAAACAATCACAGCGTGGGCTGACTATTAAGATCTGATGACACGCCGTTTGTTATTACAACTTAGTATTGTAGGCGAAAGAATTCTACTCGAGATGAAGAATGTAACAAGGTCGAGAGATTCTTAAGCTTGCTGTTGCTTCCCTTATAGGTTTGGGTTTTGCATATATCCGCCACCGTTCTATCTATATATACGATAGAATGAAAAAAGGTTATTTTTTTTAACATGCGTAGTGCTTGAATACCATCTGTAGTTTACGAGAGTAGTGCACGACTAAATACCAACTACGAGGTAGATGGCGCTAGCGTAGCAGATTTTTGACCATAACGTTAGGGACACTCTCGATTATCGTTCCCCCACGACCACGACTACTGGAAATCAACTGAAACATCGGGCCGTTGTGTAAAATAAATTATAAATGAGTCAATACAAATTTAGGTTTTACGTTTAAAGTGCTCATTAAGACTTAGCAAAACCACAAAAAAACCGCCTAGAGGTTTATGTTTATCATATCAGTCCAATAAAACTCTTTCTTTTGTTTCGTTCCCTACTCCAAATGCCAAAAGATTAAACGTGTTGCCTAACACCCAGGTCCCAATTAATACCACAAATAATGTGGGTGCGATGTAGGCCTAGAGAAAACCGATACCCCCCAGGGGGACATAAGTTTAAACGAACCTTCTTATCTTCCAAATGCAATCAAGGTTTTCCTATTATATTAGGATTCCTATTTATAGGCCCATATTATTAAACGTCTACAAACGGGTCGTCATGTGATGTTCAAGGCGACGTCACGTGCACAAATTTCAACACGGATCTACAAAATGCATTGGACGGAATAAGCCACTGTTTTACATCAAGATCACGATATCATTCTCGAGTTTATGTGTCGGACGTTATGTACGTATGCACAACAAATATGTTAGTTAAATTTGTTTGAAAATTATTTCAACTAACGGGTGCTTTGCAACAGCCGTACTCTCCCCGTGGCCTGAACAAGTTTATCTAATATATTTCGAGTTTAAACCGTTAAAGTTTTTATTTATATAAATATAAATTACATAAACGTTACGTTACGTAAGAGTAGTTAGTTTTTTATGATAGAGGACGACAGTCAACATAGGCTTCTCTCATTTATTATTCAGATTTCCAGACAATGTCCAGCATGTTTTAGAAAAAATTGAATTTATTATTCATTTTTTGTATTAATTTGTTTCGCCTACCTTGCACATCTCATTTTCTTAACATTTCTTAACTTAAGATTGCCTGGAAGGAATCACTTGTTAGCGATACGGCCGTTGCACTCCATTCTAGTATATAAGTCTTTATTCTGTATTATTATGTTTTGTGCATTAAAGAATAAATAAAAATTAAAAATAAATTGAGTAAGGCTTTCACGGCCATCGATCAGCATATTATTGTCTTTCGGGCTGTTCGGGCCGATGTGAGCGAGAAGAGGTTCTCAACAGGAGAACCTCTTCTCGCTCGCATCGGGCCGAGACAGCCCGAAAGACAATAATATGCAAATAAAAAATAAATTACAGATTCTACCGGTG